GTCCATAGTGCTAACCATTACACCATGGGACCATACAAACGGGTTTGAAAACCATTTAGATTAAAAACCACCAGGTGTTTCCCTGAATATAGCCTGCACTCTCTCTTTCCTGATGCGCTGGTTCGCTATGAACAGATTCCGGGATTTATATAACTGATCGTTATAGTGAAATATCACAGACCAGAATGACAAAAAAAAATGAAAAATCAGTGGCCAGGTTTTAAAACAGGGCAATGTTGACTCAAAGATAGATAGATTTTAATTTCAGTACCTTTTAATTCAAATTTTAATAGCAAACTCTCCTTACGGACAGGAGAGTGGTAGAAAAAAATAAATAAAGAAAACTAAACTAAAATGGTGAATTATCTTTTACTCTTGAAGATTTTTCTTATCCAGGTTTACTAAAGATCCGGCTGACCGTCACGTGGTTTGTCGTTCGGTTTCGTATTCTCCTTCACAAGTGTTTACGACGATATTATCTTGACAGGGCGCGAGCAAAAACTAAAGAAAATAAATTTCAATGCGTCGGAAGGAAATCGAGCCCGGGTCAACCGCCTGGAAGGCAGCTTGCTCACCAATATACCACCGACACCTCGGTTACGGCAATCTCCACGCCTAAAAAAGACTTTGTATTGATCCGTCATCGACTGTACTTCGTCAAGATAAGGAACAACAGGTAAAGCAATAGACCTCTTTAGCTGGTATGTTTTGCTTTCCCAATACTCTAATACTCTGATAATACTCTAGGGAACTGTTTCTTTCAAATTTCGTCTTATTCCGTGGGACCTCTATCTACTGCTGCATGTTGGAAGCCCAAAACAATCCTGGCTCCACCTTAATTACATCTAAGACAAAAGAATTTGCAGAGGCTTTTTGAAGATTTTAATATGCAAAATGTTATTGCTGAACTAACCCGCATAACTTATACCACAAAGTCACTGATTGATCTTATTGTTACCACCAAGGTGGATGTTGTGCGATGTACAGGAGTAATGCCACTAGGTATATCTGACCATTGCCTAGTGTATACAACGCTTAAATTGAGCAGCAAAAGACCACCGCCGAAGATTATTCGCACCAGAAACTTTAAAAATTTTAATGCAGCGAATTTTAAGGCTGATATTGAAAAGATTCCTTTTCATATCTTGGAAATTTTTCATCACAAAGACGATGCGGTCTGGGGATGGGAACAATTGTTTAAAGATATATGCAATGCTCACGCCCCGTTTAAGGACGTGAAAGTGAGAAGTATGTCTGCTCCGTGGATTAACAACACAATTAGGCACAAAATGAATCGCAGATTTAAATTATTAAAAGAGGCAAACCGGACAAAGGATCCAAGCAAATGGGCTGCATATAAGAAACTTAGAAATGAAATCACAGCTGATATCAGGGGCACCCAACGGCAATTTTCGGGAAAATATCTGTTCGGAAGACGATTTGAGATCTAGAATTTTCGGAGCATTTGTTGTAAAATTTCTTGCTTGCCTGCCTCTCCTAGGATTTTCGAACATCTACAAAATGGTATAATTACCCATTTTTAACGGATTTTGACCCTAAAAAAGGCCACCTAGAATTTTCGGGAGCCTTTTCCTGGCTGAAATTTTCGAGAAGGTAAGTTTTTATCCCTATAATTTTCGGATCACTAGACTTTCAGCTAGGAAATCCGAACAGATGAAAAGTTTTTAGGGGATAAAAATATGCCTATATCTATCGTTTGAATACTAAAATACGTTCAACAATGCTATGTTAAGTGGTTTTGAACTATATCCTCGCTGGGTGCCCCTGTGATATACGCAGAGCCAAGGCTAAGCATTTTAAAGATCTATTAGCTGATGTCAAAACCACTGCAGAGTATTGGAACCTGCTTTCAAAGGCGAATAACCCTAAATTAAGGAAAGCGATAGGTCCATTGAAAAGAGAGCATGGATCGCTCGCAGTTGATGACAAAGAAAAATCAAACCTAGTCAACAATTTCTTCTCTAACATCGGAGAGAAACTGGCTGGCAGTTTCCAGCCCCAATATCTATCTCACCAGGCCACGTCAACTTGGAGAGGATATTCTACAGAGCTGTTGCTAGTACATATGACAGAAATTTGGAGGAGTGCCATTGATTCAAATAAAGTTGGTGGTATAGTGCTGGTAGATTTCCAGAAAGCGTTCGACTGTGTCTCCCATAATGTGCTATTACATAAATAGAAAATGATTTTGGAATTAATGGAGTGCTACTCGACTGGCTGCGCAGTTACCTTGACAATAGAAAACAATATACTGTCCTAAATGGTATAGCATCAGATCTTAACACTGTTAAATCTGGAATACCGCAGGGTTCCGTTCTAGGACCGACCTTATTTTCTCTTTACACAAGTGATTTACCTGAAGCTATAACCACTGCGACAACCTACATGTATGCTGATGATACTACCCTATATTGCATTGGCGATTCTATCGACGCAGTAATTTCTGAACTTAATAAAGCTTTGGAAGAGCTTCTATACTGGTACAAAACAAACTCCCTTGTGCCTCATCCAAAGAAATACGAAGCAATGATCCTCCATCGTGGAAGATTCACTGGCCCTGCATTGAAAGAGTTAACGTTGGCCCAGCACACCATCAAATGGGTTACACACTCTCGTCTATTAGGCGTATTGATAGATGATCAACTAAACTGGTCTAAACATGTTAGTGTTGTTAAAAAGGGCTTTGTTGATAAGTTAAACTTGTTAAAACGTAGCAAATTTCTTCCAAAGAATATGTTATTAGACTTGTATTTTAGAGTTATTATGCCGTCGATCGTATATGGTATATCAGTATGGGGAGGTCTCACAAATAAGGAAGGTTTTAAGGCATTAGAAGCACTGCACTGTAGAGCTGCGAGAATTATCTTTGAGCTGCCTTGGGGGATGTTTAAATGCAGATGTTATGAAAAAGGCTAACTGGTCTTCTTTAGCCTTTATGTATAAAATTAGCTTAGCTAAGCTTATGTATAAAATCCACAATAACCTGACTCCAGACGCTATGTCAGCTATTATTAAGAACAAAGCGATATCAACTTAGGAAGAAACTGAAAATTGATGTCCCTCGTTTTAACACCAACTATATTAGGAACTCTGTAGCTCGTAGAGGAGCAATAGTTTGGAACACGTTGGTTCCTCAACTTAATGACGATATAGACGATGTTAAGAAATATGCGATTATGGCAAGACGGTCAAAGGCTCTGCTACACCTAGATTTTGACTGTATCTCCCCTCAAACATTAACCAGAAGGGAGGAAGATTTTAAGTATAATTAGTGTTAATAATTAATCGATACTAGAGTACCACCTTGTACTTTAGAATTTTAAGTTTTTATCGTTTTAGACTTGTAAGTAGTAAGTAGCTATATGATTTTAGCTCCACATATAGGATAAATAAAAGATTAAGTAATCAATAGAATAAATTAATAAATCTGTGCTGGGGTGTTCGCTTCGCAGCGAATAAATACTTATCGTGTATAAATAAAGATTATTGATTGATTGATTGATTGGTTGATTTCAGACTTCAGTGTTTCAAAATTTAAAGAAATATTACCGTTCTAAGGTGTTCTAATGTACGTTACAACAATTGTAGTTTGTTTATTTTATTTTTTGAAGTCTTTTGACCTATTTAACAACCTAAAAACTTTTTGGTTCGAAAAAAAAAGGAACTACAGACAGCTGAAATCCGAGGAATGTAACCGGAAGTGGATCTTGTGAAGACAATATTTATAATAGCGATAACCAAGGGTTAAATATGCATCTTATTTTTCTGTAAGCTCCCACTGCCAGGTTGTCTATCTGAAACAGGAGCAAACATTATACTTAGGATATGATTAAAGGCAATCACGTTTCCACGCTATTTGCCCTATGTTGTCCTTCAAAAAATACCATCTTCGTCAACTTCCGGTGATGACCGGGAAACAAAGACCGTGGGCATCCTGGTGGGGGGAGATTTGAGGGGATGGGAAACACAGTCAACAAAGCGACCGCTGACAAGCTCGTATTTGTTTCAAGAAAGTGTATTTGACTAAAGCGATTGCATAAAGTTTCCCTTGGTTTTACAAGGATACACGTAAATCCTCTATGAAATGGTTCAATTGGATTAATTAATTGAAGAGCCCTGGAAGAAGTCATCGTTGTAGCGACAAAGCTTGATAATGCATGGAAATTACAGTGTTGACAAGCTAGCTTCAAAGAGAACCACTCCTCCAATGCCAAACGGCCCGTAAATATTTGTAATCTTGAAGAAGTCAGCGTTTCATTCTGTCATGGATGAAGAAGACGGTTTTTTCAAGGAAGAAATTTGTACGTTAACACCCGATGAGTTATTCGATGCCTTTCTTCAATCCTGTGATCTTGCTGAAACGCTGGATGTCTTTCGAAAACTCTGTCAGAGTGTTGATGTTAACCCTCGAAATCACAAGACATTGTATGCTTCTCTGAAGTCCAAATTAACTTCTTGGAAGTGTAAATCGCTGTGGACGAAATTGGACAAAAGAGCCGAACACAAGGACTACAAAAACAAGCCTTGTGTTAAGAACAAAGTCTTAGTTATTGGAGCTGGACCGTGCGGTTTGCGCGTCGCCATTGAAGCCGCTCTTCTGGGTGCATATGTTGTTGTCATAGAAAAGCGAGATCGATTCTCTCGCAACAATGTCCTGCACCTTTGGCCGTTTTTAATCGTCGACCTTAAAAACTTGGGAGCCAAGAAATTCTTTGGACAGTTCTGTGCTGGAGCCATTGATCATATAAGTAAGTATTTTATTTTTTCCTTGGTCTATATTTGTGCCTGCACTTCCGGAAATGTTCTAGTTGCTTGTGCAGACGAAATCGATCACCACTCGTCTCTCAAAACTCTCTTAGTCGTCAAGAACCTACACTAATTTTGGCGAAAATGCGATGATTTTATAGCTGCCATGCTGGTCGTAAGGAAGTTTATTTTTACAAATGACATCTTTGAATGAATTTCCCTTTGAATCCTCGTGTTTAAAATGATATGTCAGATTTAGATTTTCTCGGAAGCTTTAATCTGGTAGAAATCCAGCTTTCACACTTGATACTACCTTGAAAAATTCTTATCTCTTCGAGTTTTTTAAGATTTGAAATAGAGTGTTTTGTCTCATTTCGTCAGAGCATTTGCTTTGCCAAAAATATAAGAAAAATTGGGCTCTCTTTATATTGCATAACTTGAGTTCATTATAACGTTAATTATGGTCGGCGCTCGCGGAAATCATCAATCCTCTTAAACTGCTTATTGGAGTTTCCTGCATTTTTTGCAATCGAATGAATAAAGGGCGACAATATTGTATCACACAGTTTATTTGTGTGTTTTCGGGTTATCAGGGGATTAAATTCAACGGGTGGCTTTTATTTTGATACGCGCCTGAATTTGTATTTGGTTCATGTGATGTGTGCCGAACTCTCTCACGAGAAGAAATTGAATATTTCTCTTTGTACTTTAGCCTGTGAATATGACGTAAAACTTACATCTTCGTCTCTTCAGCTCATCCTATTCAGTCTATACTTATTTCTTGGAATAATTTAGTCAATTTTTCTTTTCTTCTAGTCTACGGTAAGTCAATTCGATTTTTTATCGTTGAGTCACATTCATATATATTAATTATTAATTCGCGTCAATTTTAAAAGAATATAAGTATGCTGAACAATATTTAACCAACAGGACAGCCATTGTCTCTCTTTTAAAATAAATTTGCACATGTCTTCTTCATCTTTTGTCTAGTGTTTTCAAAAGTATTTAGTTGAAGATGCTTAAAATAGACTGAATACCAATATATAATGAATATTAAATTTGTGGCACTTAACCTTACCATCATTTCCATTTTTGATTATGGTTTTTGATAAAGTCGAATGAATTTCAAGATGTTATTGTTCTGAGAATGCAATAAGAGTGTCTTCAGAAGTGTCTTAAAAATGTAGATGTTGTCAGGTCAAAATTAAATTGAGGTCAAATTTTTGTAACCTAGGTTGGTTTCCATTTTCCTTTGTGTCCTTACCCTAATCCATGAATAATTAGGGCTAAGAGACCAAACGATTGCGAATCAACCTAAGTGAGAGAATTTTAATGTGAATTTAATTTTGACCTTTAACATAGACTTTTACAGGGTTGTCAAAAGTGGCCGGCCGCCGGCAAAAATCAACGTGTACTTGGTTAGTATCAGCCAGATACTCTGCTTGGCATTTCTTTACGGATGGCGTTTTTTAAACTAAATATCCCTGGACTGGCCGCTTACTTTGAAAACTTAGCCTTCTACTTCAAAACTTTCTGACAACCTTGCTTTTATAAAACAGGTTGAGTCTGGTGGGTTGGGGTTGAAAATCATTATTGTACCAAGACTTGCTAGAGTTAACAGAATTCCTTTGTTCTTGAAGTCTATCACTAAATTAAGACTTTGTGTTGTCTTTTGTTATATTAGATGTTAATAGTATTCCCTACTATATTCTTAATTGCTGGTGTTCACATAATTGTCACCATGAAAGGCAAAACAGATACTAGTTAACGGTTATCCATTTCAAGAGGATAAGCGTTTCTTATCCATTCGAACTCTTTAAAAAAGCCATTCGGAGCGATTGATCAACCGTTTGAATGGTTTGCATATCCGTTCAAAAAAATTGGCATCGGTTTGAATGGTTTACCTATCCGTTTGTAAAAAAAAGCTTCCGTTTGAAGGATAATTGCGACATCCGTTTGAATGGTTAAGACGCCTGTTTGAACAATTTTTAATGAAAATGATTTTTTAACTATGTCTTATAGTTGTTGCAAGGAATAAATGGCATCATTTGTTTTCCCATCAATGAGCAGAGAATTTTTTTTCATTAGTGAACTAGACTAAAAGCTGTCATGTTGCCCAGCGATGAGACAGAAATCAAAATACTCTTTTGTTTTTCAATCACGAGAATTTTTATAATTACTTCAACTAAAATAACAGATAAACATCGCCAGTTTTGTTTGGAATGATTATTTCGCAGACAGTTTATCAGTGTTTTTAACAAATCCGTTTGACAGTTTTATTCATCTGTTCGAACGGTTTGCCAATCCGTTTGAAAAATTTATTCATCCGTTTGAATGGTTAGTCAAACCATTCGTCGAACACTTTGTAGACCATTCATTAACCGTTCGTTATCTGTGCGTTTTTCCATTCGAATGGTTTTCTGTTAGTGTCTGTTTTGCCTTTCCAGTCACAATTATTCATTTCATTCAGATGAAGACTTTGTAATGGCTTTACACCACAATACATTTGAACTGCCATTTATTTTGAGGGTGGCCACCCTCAGGGTAGCAGCAAGTAGGATACCGTATTTATTCGATTAACCGCCCTGGGCGCTTATTAAATTTTTGGACCTTGAGAGTGGGCGCTTATTCGAGGCTGGGCGCTTATTAAATTTTCAACATTTTCAGCAAGTGTAGTATGTTTATTTTGCAACAAAACAATAAATGGTAATGACAAAACGCGAAGATGTAACAAAGCAAGGTTCCTGTAAAATACTTAAAAGAAAACTCCGTCTTTGAAGAAGTCTCTTATTGGTACTTATTCACTTTTTGGGGGGTGGGGTTGGGGTGGTCGATTATTTGAGTTTAAGTAGGAGTGGGAGGGAGGTTGGGTGGGGTGCGCGTTTATTCGAGGCTGGGCACTTATTAACTTTTTCTGCCTTCAGGATGGGTGCTTATTCGAGGTGGGCACTAATTTGAGGTTGGGCGCTTATTCAAATAAATACTGTATACAGCATAATTTTTTGCATAATTGGTCTTTTTTGAGGCAGCATAGTTTTCACCTATTTTCCGAAAAAAGCACTGCTACGCATATTTTAACTTTTGTTTTGCTGCCCAAAATTGTCTTTTTATTAATCATGCAACCAACTTTTTTGACCTGAGATAAGTGTTGCAGGCAAATTTAAGAAACCAACTTTTAGGGTGTTTATATTCACATTCATTGGACCTACGTCCCACAAAAAGTGACACAGGACTCTTTCCACAAGACTCAACATGTGCACATAACATGCTTGGTTACCCAAGATCATGTCAGCGTGCGAGTTGTTATTTTTTTGAGTTTTTATAGTTAACAGACAATAAATTATGCACTTTTTACATGTAGATATAAATAAAGTTATTTGTAATTGCCATTTGTTTTTTCTCCATAGTTATTGAGGTGTTTTTATCAAATTTAAAGTAAAAAGAAAGAGCATAATTTCTGCATTTTCTACTAAAATGATCATGATTTACAAAAACTAGGATAATTATTGGCCTAATTTTAGAAATATACGAGCAAGTTACTAGTAGCATATTATCTTTCTCTTGTAAGCACAATCTATCAAAGCCCAGTGGCAAGTGGCTGTTAATATAAGAGGTTGGCAGCACTGTATAACCTTTAGCAGAAACTTACTGTACATAAAAACCTCCTGGAGCAAGGGCGAGAACCACCAAAAAAACCTCAACCCAAATATCAGCCTCAGGATTTCAGCAGTAGGTGTGACACCTATGCTGTGAGTTGTTGGGGTCCCTGTGGGTGTTACTTCAGGACTTTTTAGGTGGAAATGTGCTGCAGCGACCCTAGAACACTAAATCTATTCGGGACCTACAATCATGGACAAAAGTCCTTGGGACAGTAATGCAATATTCATATTTTTTTGTCATTTCTGGGTTCCCTCATAAAACAGTTCATCCTTTTTGAAATTTTCTTGCAGTTTCCCCTCCCCCCACCCTATGCAAAGTTGAAACTCGAAAAAAATTCTGGATACATGCATGCAACATTGTTTGTGGGGTGAGGGGAGAGGTAATGGGCCTATGTGAATTGGAAAATGCCCCAGAAATCCAAAAGTGTCCCAAGACGTTGTCCATGATTGTAGCTAAGTCAGCTGAATTTTGCTACCCTATACTAGACTTACACTGTAACTCTCAAAAATCCTCCCTATCGTAGAGGTGCTTTTTTCCACAAACTTTTGACGTGAACGCTTTCTTTGTCATAAAACTGAATTGGGGGAAAATTTTTATTTCCAGATTTCAGTTTTTGTCTGTCAATTCCCATTTTCGCTAGTGTAGACTAAAATCTTTAGCAGTTTTTTGGAAAACCCCAACTCTCTGATTTCTATCTCCTATCCTAGTCAACTAAACGTCTTAAAAAACAAACCCTTCACAGCAGCACATGTCTATGTAGCTCATAGGGCAGTACCCCCCCCCCCCTCCCTGGATTGGAACATGACAGGAGTTGGCACCAGGTATATAGGACTCTCTCCTACAACTTATTGAGGGGACTGGGGCCAGGATATAATCTCCTAAAATCGATACCTTAATACATTATTGTCATGATTTCAGGTATCCGTAGACTTCAGCTGATTCTTCTCAAGGTGTCTCTTATTCTTGGTGTGCAAGTTTATCCAAAGTGTGGGTTTATAAAGCTAGTGGAACCTACAGATGGTAAGGAATTTTATATATGTTTGCTTTCATTCAGTTTACAACATTGTTGCCACACCAGCATCAAATTTTAAAACTAGAGTAAAACGGGAAACAACAATAACAACAACAACCAAAAAAACAAATGACAAGGACAGAGCAAGGCTTCAATGACAGGTCCCATCAACCAATGACTTTACACAAGAATATTTTTTTAAAAAATCTATTTAAACCTAACAGAATATCATGTTAACTACCGAGCCACAGACCAAATAATGAGCTTCATGGCATTTAATGATGTTTATTAGAATAATGTGTAATTTAAAGAGAAGTTTCAAAAGTTTTTGGGCGACTGGGTCCTGCTAGAGCACAGCTTGTTGTTTGTACTCTGGACTATGATCAGATCTTCTCATGTAGATTACAGGGGAGCTTACGTACAGCTCCCTGACTGCAAAAGTCTTTTTAAAGATAACTTTGCCATTCCTATTAATCTGCCCAAATATTAGGACACTGATGACGACTCTTTAATTGTTTTGAACCTGAGTACTAAATAAGAGCCCCAGGAAAGTTTGCCTGCATTGAAATAATAAAGCTGTTAAAGTAAAGTTATTACAAGTTTGAAAGGACTCATGTTTTCTTAATTAATGGTGTTACGTTACTTCTGGTTTATGTAAATGCCTACACCAGTTAGTTGCATGTGGCAGTGACCAACTCGAAAGCCTAAGCTCGTTTGGTCATTACGCACATTTGATCTTTCATAATTTATGTAGTTTGTTGTTTTTTTTTCTTGCTTTTATAATGTATTGTAATTTTTGTAGTAACCTCTTGCAAAAAATGCCAAAAAAATAATAAAAAACCTGAACCTGAATCTGAAATCTGATGTTTTGACAATTATCATGGGGGCTTAATGCCTTGATGATATTGCTGTTTTAGGTCATTTCTGTGCTTAAGTCATTATATACTTTTTACCTTACGCATTTCCTAATTCCGTTATGATAAAGATATTGAAAAAATTTCATCAGGGGGAACAAACCATAATATTTTTCACAAATTTTTGAAGGCATTGTATTTAAACCCAACTTTTTCAAGTTTCAATCCATCTCAATCCTTGCCATCTGTAGCGTCAGATGACAGGAAACAGTTTCAATGCCCAAATATAGTCTTATAAATTGTAACAAAACTGGACCATACTGATTAACACATATTTTAAATAAGCTTTTCAAAAAGATAGCAAATAGTGTGACAATAGCCCTTTATAAAGGAGTGGTTGCATGCCCTTTACAGTTATTGTTTAGTTAATCTTTTTGGTCTTGATTTGTTTTATATTACAGCACATGGATGGAGAGGAGCCTTTGATCCACCCTCTCATACCCTCAACAAATTTGATTTTGACATCATTGTGGGGGCAGATGGTAGGCGAGCGGCATTGAAAGGCTTCAAAGGGAAAGAATTCCGTGGTAAACTTGCTATTGGCATTACTGTGAACTTTCAGAACAGAAACACAAAAGAAGAGGCAAGAGTCGAGGAAATTAGTGGAGTGGCATTCATCTTCAATCAGCAGTTTTTTCAGGACTTGAAAGATAGCACTGGTATTGATTTAGAGAACATTGTTTATTACAAAGATGAGACTCATTACTTTGTTATGTGTGCGAAGAAAAAGAGCTTACTTCAGAAGGGAGTACTGAAAAAGGTGAGGTTTACTTTAAACCTTGCACATCAAGATATTAACACAATGGTAACTTTAATAAGCAGTGAAAAATTTTAGCTCTCGTTGCAAAAGTTAATGAACACATACTGCAAACAACCAATAATATTATTAATTGAATATTCAAGAACTATATTATTTACTGATATGTGTAAAATGCGAACAAAGTAACAACAGTATATGACTATAAGTATCTTAACATATTGTGTATTCAAACTGATGTCTTCTAAAGTCTTTCTAGTCTTTCTAGATCCACATTGAAGTCTATACCATTGTCTTTTTTATCCACATCAATTCAAACTTCAAGAGGCTTTAATACATGTTTATTAATATAGGTAAATCCTCTATTAAGCCTCCTCTCTAATTAGCCCTCCCTTTTCAGGGGAAGGAAGTTAATAAACCCACTCTACCCTCCCTCTTATTAATCTTCACTAATAAATGATAATTATACTGTATTAATCAATTACAATTCAGTAACAGTTCTCGTGGACTGATCCAGGATGGTTTATTGGTTTTTGGCTGCAAGACCTCCAACCTCTTGACTTGAACTTTTACACTTTGTATTCTAGTTGTTTAATATGGAGAACTGATACCATCATCTTTGCTAAATTAAATAAACCCCTCCTCTCAAATAAGCCCCCTGTGTCTATTATTAATCACGCGCTTCCTTCAAATGTGTTTGAAATAAGTAAGCCCCTCTGGGGGTTAAATAGAAGATTTACAGTAGTTACCTTGACGAAACTTATATTGCATTTTAGCCTCAGTAAACTCATCCACAGAGATAAGGGTGTTGGGGGGGAGGTGCCTGAGAGGGCTGTGATTAGGGTGCCCCTGCAAATCACCAACAAGAGAGACATATGTAGCTGGCCAGCACTGTATCGATTGTTAACGTAGCCCAAATTAATTCATTTAGCCACATTTAACTTGTTTTTTTTCTGTATAAAATTTTCATTGGCAGGATTTCCAAGATGCTTATGACCTTCTTCAAACAAACAATGTCAATCATGATAAGCTGTTAGCCTACGCCAGAGAAGCTGCCAACTTCTCGACAAACAATCAGCTTCCACATCTTGACTTTGCTTTGAATCACTACCACAAAGAGGATGTTGCTATGTTTGATTTTACATCCCTGTACCACTCAGAACATGCTGCAAAAATCTATGAAAGAAGAGGACGACGCCTACTTGCAACAGTTGTGGGAGACAGTTTACTGGAGGTATGGGTTTCACTGATTTTAGAGTGTGCTTTAAGTTATATATTTATAATAATGCTTTTAGTATCCTCTTCCCTTATGGGAATTTTCAGAGATAATGAAACAGTCAAATAATTTAAAATGAAACATAACGTCATTAAAATCCCTGGTATGAGGCGAACCAGTTGGCTTTTTTACAAGTGTGGCCAAGGATTTGAACTCAGGACTGCCAAGAACAGCTAGCAGTTAGAGCGGGAGTTGACCTTGGGCTTCTGAATTACAAGTCCTGGCCCCAGTTGTTCAAAAGGTGGATAGCGCTATCCAGTGGATAAAACACTATCCAGTGGATTAGTATTAGGGAAACCAATTGCGTTATCCACTGGATAGAGATTTGTCTGGTGGATAGTGCTATCCAGCTTTTGAACAACTGGGGCCTGCACTCTAACTGCTTGGCCACAGTGCATGTCTTCTGTTGTAAAGGTCTCTAAATTGACTTGTTCCTTTTTTAGCCCTTCTGGCCGACAGGATCAGGCTGTGCTAGAGGTTTCTTGGGATGCTTTGATGCTGCATGGATAATGAAAGGCTGGGGACAGGGGCGAGAACCATTGGATCTTCTTGCCGAAAGAGACAGCATTTTTCGTCTCCTTGCTCAGACAACTCCTGAAAACATTTCCAAGAATTATGAAGAGTTTAGTATCAACCCTGCCACACGGTACCCTAATTTGAACAAGTCAAGTGTTTCTCAGAACAGAGTAAAGCATCTGTTTGACAATAAACCTGGTCCTATAGACCAAGATGATGGACCAGAACCCATGGACACCAGTAAGGATGTCAGTTCTGTTGAAGGAGGAGGTAAGAGAAGAAAGGATGCAGGGCTCGGACTAGCCTGTTCCAGGCGTTCAGATAGTGGGGAGCGGTGCGAAGTAAAAAGGAGCGCGAAAAAATAAAAGCGAGGGAGGAGGAGAGGTGAGAGAGGGAACGCCTGTTAGATTTGTTTTTTAAAAATAGACTCTTCCGCCCAGTCAGACCGCATCAGCTGTAGGTGGTCTTCACTTGTCAATCAAGACTGGTGTTACAGCCCGATGCATTTATTATTTTCCTTGCGAATAAATCGAAGTTTGTCAGATCAAAAATTAATATTATGTATACATAATCTTACTAAAAACCCAATGTAAGACTTTCAGACAATAGAAGGCGGGAGAAGTATTCATGTATAATGAATTTATTTACGGCTTTAAAACATGATTTCAGCGTGTACGTGACAAAAAATTATGAATCAAGTGACAAACAAATATCGCTCATTTCGATAGAAAGCCGTTTCAATACAGATCGTTAACTCAAGCAATGAAAATGCACAACAATTGAAGGGAAAATTTACTATTCGGTGATTGAGTGGACCTCGTCAATAGCGATAGCTGCAACTTGCTTTCCAAGCTTTCCTTTTTGAAGTCCTTTTGTCCATTCATTATACAACCACGATTTGGCACTTCAGTAAACAATTTCACAGCTTCCACTTTTAACGGCTTCATCCACATCTTCTCCCATCATTGCCGCCGCAAATATTCCACTTGGTCTTCCATGATGGTAATCAACGGAGTTACCACAACAATCGTAAATGGCATTCTATCCTGCCTTCATTCCAACGCACGCTTTATTCGAGGAAAAAACTGGAAAATAAGAATTTTTCCAAAGCCAGTCGGTGAGAAATTGCTAAGACATCTATCCTACCGACTACGTGTTTTAAACAGTTTCTTTGCTCTTCGCTTTTAGCCTACACGTTTGGAAAGTCACTCAGCGCTGTGTTTGTTGCGAGTTTGAATTCTGCGTGACGGCACGTAGAGTCTGTCATAACGGCCATATCGCATTTCTCGCTGTGATCGAAGACGCTCCAGTGTTGACACATTCTGTCAAAATCAACCAATCAGAGGGTATACCAGGATCTGGTATACCGGAAGGCACTTTTGTTAAGAATTCTTACAAGCGTTCCCTCACCTCTCTCCCCAGTCCCCCTCTACTTTTTATCGCTTTCTTTACTTCGCACCGCTCTCCACTATCTGAACGCTTGGAACAGGCTAGGCTCGGACTAAAAAAGTCCCATCCAGTAGTCCAGTAATCCACTTTCAAGATGAGGCTAGGGGCACAACCTTTCTTGTGAAAATGAGTTTATTTGCATGAGAATGAAAAATGATTTCCATATCAAAGGCTGAGCACCTACCCTCGTTTTCAAACAGAGGCCCGGGGGAACTTGGAAATGACCTATTGGGGCTTAACGGGTTAAAAGCTTATTTGCCCAGTGGACAAGGGTCCAGGAAGAAAAGTTATCCTCTAAGAAAAATTGTTAACTAAGACGAGCAAGGAGTGACTCTGGGAAAGCAAAATGGGAGTGGCCCAAAAGACAAGCTGGAATTTAAGTTTTTGCGATTGTTAATTTTAGTGGCCTCTAGTAAAAGCCACAAGCGACTGATCAACTGCCAGATTACCTTCTGTTTGCTTGTCAAACAAAGGGAGAATTTGACATTAGATTTTGGGTTACCTAGGGCGTTTTAGAGCCTGATAATATTTAAAAACATTCTAAGAATCATTCATTCTCAACAGCGATGGACAGTTTAATAGACTGTCATCATTTTAAATCTTTTCCTTTTAGTTAATGCTCGGATGCTTCTAAAATGGTGTCAAGAACAAACAAGAAAGTACAAGAATGTGAAGATTAATGACATGTCAACATCATGGCGGAGTGGACTTGGTTTCTGTGCCATCATTCATCGATACAGGCCTGACCTCATGTAAGTGGATTCTCATGTCTTAACCTTGGGCTTATTTAAAGGATTTTTTAAAGCCCCGGGTAGTTTTCTCAGATTTATTTGTTAAGTTTTCTTCATGGTCAGAATTTGTGAGAAGGTCCTTTGCAAGAGACCACTATGCAATAGCTATAGACCCATAGCACTGTGGGATTGTTGTCAGGCAGCGTTATGACATATACAAGCAATTGAATGAGAGAAACAGGGGCAGGGGTTGACCAGGCGCAGATCTAGGATAAAAACTGACTGATTTCCTAAATGAGCGCTGAAGACACAAGCTTCTAGGGGGGTCCGGGGGTGTGCCCCAGTGGTAAACTTTTTCAATTTAAACTCCCTAAAAACCCCTTTCCTGGGTTTCTGAGTCATTCAGACAGGATATTGCCCAGTTCCATTCTCCTCGGATGAAGCCTTGCAACTTGGAAAGTTTTTCCTTTATTAAAAATATATCTTTTATGAAAAATCTGAACGGTGGAAACAGGTGTGGTTCCTCGCCCGTAATTGACTCCCTTTAGTCTTGACTCTGGAGTAACCATAACTGTTATGTCAAGGAAGGGATGAGTTGGCCTTCATGAAGAGATATTTTGACATTATTATTTGCTCTGTTTTTAGTGATTATGCATCTCTATCACCTAAAGATCATTTGACAAACCTGCAGTTGGTAAGACCAGTCTACATACCTACTAATCTAGTCACTATCTTGTCAAACTGCAAGTTAAAAATTAATGAAAGATGTTTGTGTAACAATATTCTATTTTTATTGATCACAACGTTTGAACCCTTACTGCTGGTTTTCATCAGGTGTTGACTTGTCACTTTAAATTGTAACACAGGCAGTCAATACCGTTTGCTAATGCAGATTAGCAGAACGGTATTTACTTGAAAAACGCTGTGGCGCTTATTTATTTTTCAACTTGTTGGTGCAGCCCTTACATGGGGACATTGCTTCAGTATACAATTTCTTTGTTTCTTTCTCTTTTTTGTTCACAATTATAAAGGCACATGAAAAATATTTCTAAATATTTCTTTATTTAGTCATACCAGAATTAATCGTGTTTAAAAGTATACCGAAAAAAGCTTGCATTGCCGCCAAATTTGGGGACGGGATTTTTTAATTTTCTCCTAAGCGCGACGATTTATATTTTTTTTCGAGGGGGGCGTAGCCTTCGCCTAGTTCCAAGAAGGCGCCCTTCCGACTCAATACAGGAAGCGTCCAAAATGTCGACTTAAATATCTAAGTGACTATTGTAAGGCAAACGATAAGCAGTTGGGCAAAGCTATATGTTTCGACTCGTAAGGTATGCAAGTAGTAAAGAAGTATTGTGCTTTTAATTTCGTTCAGGCATTTGATGTTGCTGAAGAGCATCTTGGCATTCCTCCTCAAATGTCTGCCAGTGAGATGGTCATGAAAGATGTTCCTGATACGCTCATGATAGTCAGTTATGTGTCTCAATACCATGAAGTCTTTAAGAATGAGACGCCAGGTAGTATAGTCATTCACTATTTTTATTATTTTCGTGGGTCGTATCTGAGCTAATTTGACGCTTTCTGACGTTTCTTTGGCTTCCACACACTTTTCAGTTCAGTTCTGTCGGTAAAATATAAACAGCAAGGGCCTCTTTGGCGTAGCAGTCATTTACATCTCCTTTAAACCAAGCGCGGCAAGAGCGAAAAACGCGCGGGGGCAAGGCTGAAAACACGCGGGGGCAAGGGCGAAAAACACGCAGGGGCAAAGGTCAAACACGCGGAAGCAAGGACGAAAAACACGCGGACGCAAGGGTGAAAAACACGCGGGGACAAGGGTGAAAAACACTTGGGGGCGGGGGCGAAAAACGTGCCAGGGAATGGGGTAAAAAGGAACTAAAAATTAGGAGCGGTGGGAAGGGCGAGGGCCCAATCCTTTGCTCTGCTTCTTTCCTTGTGCGTCTCGCTTTGCTAAAGGGAAATGGAAACGACTGCAACGCGGGTTATTACCGCTTCCTCTCCCCCACCCCCGCCCCCCTCCATTACAGTACCTGTAATCACAATCTTGTCCTTATTAAATTCATTTTTTTCAGTTTTGATTCATGAGTAACAAATTGTCGTCCAATACGGTCTGTAATCGAGCATACTTGTTACTAAACAGATTGTACTCTTGCGATTTTGTGCAACCGTGCGGTTGATTGATGATTGAATTGGAATACACGAAGTATTAGAACAGCTGCACTTGTTCGTATAAAATTTGTCTTCATAGTAGATTCATTAGGCCGCGGCTAAACAATCAAACATTTTCGTCCAACATTGTATTTGCCATACACAACATGGATCGCTACTGTTGTCTGTTCTGGGCCAGACAGGAGTTGCGATCCTTTGTTGCTGTCCCACATGCCTGACGGGATTCATGGGCATGAGTGAGTGAGTGATACACAACATGGATGGGTGGCTAAACGATCAATTATTGGTTTGTGATGCATTCTGTTGGATGAAAATGTTTGAAAGCCGTTTAAATGAAATTTTGAACGAAGCGGTTAAATGGTAAAGCATGCTCTTCCAACACGATGTTGGACGAATATGTTTGATTCTTAAGCTACATAGGGGCTTAAGTAACATGAAACTCGTTCAATTTGCGCCGGAAATCCAGCATACTGTTTGCGAAACAACGAATAATTACTGACGGAATTGAACTACACTACAGCTTTTAACTGTTCTTAATCAAGTATGCCCAACTGATTAACCAACAGTTGCCGCGGAAGGGAAGAAATTGGCTCCCGAGCAGCATGAGTTTAGAGCCAAATCTCCACTTTCCAAGCTATCAGTGTTAACGAGAGTCTCTCGTCGCACTCACAAGGTTGGTCAATACTTGATAACGCTTTTTAATCTTAAAATAACAAAGTACCGCAGTTTGTACAGCGTCGTTAAAAAAAATTACGTGTTATACCGGAAATGAATTAAAATTCCTTTTTTTGCACGAACAATAAATATAATTCGACAGTTTTTATTTTAAAGGGGATTTATCAGTATCTTTTTACACGAAATTAATCAAAATGAGAAAGGTACTTCTTTCGCTAAATTGTTGTTTCCTCTTTTACGATCTAATCTATACGGGCATTTAGTTTGACTTTTGAGATTGTTATGTTTTCTGATGTTGTAGAAACATTCCTTATTGCAGGAGAAAAGGCGAAGCGAAGAAGCTCTTGACATAGTTCCAAAAAGAAAAAGACCTGCAGTATCCAAGGTAAAAACTTTACTTTTACCAATTTTCATGCTTAAATAAGAAGCCCGAAAATTAAAAGCACGAATCACGGTACTACATTATTGACGCGTGTGTTAGTAAACAATACACATATTATAGACGCTGTAAGTCACAGACTTGGTGGCAGTAGTTTTGGCAGATTTGTTTTGTCAAAGTTTATTGTCAACTATTGTAAATCATATTTGCATGCCATCACTTTGACACTGGCAAACTTGTCATCGCGACATTTGCTTTCCCTTTGAATCTACTCCACTTCTTTCCATCCTTGCTCCATTTGGCATTTCCTTTTCCGTTTGTATTTTTTGATAATTTAAGGCGGTCGTCTCGATTTTAAGTGTGTTTTAATACTGCATAATGATGTTTTCTTTTGTTAAAATCATCGTTTTACGGTCATCTCGCCAGCGAACTATCTCGCCACCAACGAAATCGCCACCAAGAAGTCTACTCGCCACGACATAATAACTCTGCAACTCTTGTTTAATATTGTCACTAAACCTTACTTCCTTGAATTTTATTGGGAATTTAAAGTGAAAGAATTCTTTTCAGAGACTTGTCCTTTCGATAAGTATTAAGATATATATTTCTTGGTGGTGATTTCGATGGTGACGAGATGGTTTGATGGCGAGGTGTCCGGATATCAAATCAACTTCTTGACCACTTGTTTGCGTACAGGAAAATGAAGAGAATGTGGTTCCTATGGATACGTCACCACCGTGCAAAGTCTCGTCCCAGGGCCCAGCTGTCACCACTGGTAAAGCTAGTAACCGCATCAGTGCTTTAGCGGAGCAAGTCTTCGGACCTGGCGGAGGTAACAAGGTAAGGCGACAAGAGAGTCCGCAATTCTAATCTCTAGGTTGTTATTACGCATGCGTCGCATATATGTAGCCAACATTCGTTTGAACTTCCACTAAGAATGAATGGAATACACAGAACGCAATTTTATCACGAGCGTCTCGACCTTCTACCCCTCGTAATTTGATCACGCGTGTTTTGACCATTTGTCACGTGAAACTTACGCAAAGCACAGCATTGGAGCAAAAGCGTTTGGACCTTCGATTGTTGTCGCCCGTACTCCCTAACCTTTGGTTATTACTAGTTTGAAAGTATTTATATTAGTGCATACTCCACAGGCTTTCCCAAGGCTTATTGGGAAGCACGGTGCTGGAGACGAGTGTGAAGCGCGAGAGCTGGAGACTAGTGAGAAGTGCGAGAAAGAGATCATGGGAACGACCGCGGAGCGCGACCGGGGAGTGATGGGAAGGCAAGAGAAAAAGGGCATTTTCCCCCTTCCCATCACCACCATCTTAGATTACTTATAATTACTTTATTTTATTTAGGAAGAGAAGGAATATACGTCCTTTGAATGAAATTTGTTTTTCCAGAACCCATAAGAATCCGTAAGGCAGCTTTGATTTCGTTCGTTTTAGATAACAAATACTAAATTTGTGCAGCATAAAATATTGATTAAGAACACTGTTTCACTTCCGCTGTTTGGTATCAGACTGCATTTCTACGAGGTCTTTCGCGATCAACCTACGTTAATTTCTATAGCCGTTGTGTATCATTGTTAAGTTATTACTTTTGCCGAGGAATTGTCCCACAACATCCTTCTCTGTAGAGATAAATCTTGGATTGACATCTTGGAAAATGAGGACTCATAGTGAGTCATTTCCACAATTATTACTAGAGTAAATGTTTCAAATAACTATACTTGACTTAAAATGCATGTAATGATAAGGATCGAAGGAGTAACACGCAACTACTAGTGTGGTGTCTGCTGTCCGCCATGTTTCGGCTGTCCCTCCAAACGATCCCTGGATCCTTTGCAGTGAGAAGTCGTACCAGTTCCCTGCTCGCTTAGAAGATGGCCAATTGCGCCGATGTTGTGTTTGGGAGCAAAGCGCCCTTTTAATTTATATCTTATTTTGTTTTCTTTTTAGAGCAATGTCCCTTCGGTAAGGGACTCCAGTGAAATGTGTTTCTTCTGTAAACGGCGTGTTTACCTGATGGAGAGATTATCTGCTGAGGGACATTTCTTCCATCGCGAATGTTTCCTGTGCGAGAACTGTGGCTGTACTCTGAGGCTTGGTTCCTACTCCTATATACCTCCAACATCACCCGGCGAAAAAGGCCACTTTCTATGCCACTTGCATTATGATCAATTGCTGTATAAGATGCAGGAGGAGCCTGTTGGTATGTTTAGATAAAGTCACGGCTGTGTGTATAGAGTGTTTTCATATGACGTCACGGCAGCCATGTTGGTGTCCCAAAAAAATTAATCGGCGGCCATGTTGGTGTCCCAAACCAATCCTCTGGGAGTTGAACCATTTTCTTATGCAAACTCTTTCTTCTGTTCCAATAAATTTGCCTCGATGCTGGCCACGTGAGTGAAAACACTCTGTAGCTATCAGGTTATCTTTCTTACAAAATAGAATCTATACAGAAATTGAGAGCACTAAAAATAATATTCTCATACGCTGGTGGGGCTAGAGCAAGCGCGGATGGAGACCCTTACGTGTAGAAGAACACAGTTATGTACGCAGCATATGTGCAAACTGATGAAGAACCTAAACCATCCTCTTCATCATCTTCTACCGCTATTAGGAAGTTTCTACTTGACGTTTATTTACTTTTTCATTTCATGTTTTTGTTTGCAGATGAAGGTCAGGTACCGGGAAAAGGAAGACCAAGACTTACGAAATCTAAATCGGCCACACCTAATACCTTGTTTAAGAATGTCGAGGTAACAATCCAACCTGATGACAGGGAAGCTGTCAGTTTTGAGCCAAAACCAGAGTGCGACAATGCTAAAATAAATGGCTTCCATGATGATCAAGAAATATTGGGCCGGGAGGACAATGATGGGTCGCGAGTAAAACATGAGCGATCCAATTCTTTCGGAAAATATAAACGCCTAGAAGCGCGTCCGTTGAGACGATCAAGCATAGCCTCTGTGCGAAAGTCTGATAAAACGGTGCGAGATAAAGGGGTAGGCTACACATTTAGTGACGGACTAGTGGATGATAGAGACGCAAAGAGAGATGGGCGTCCTCTGCAAATGCCCTCCCGGAATGGAACTCGCAAAGCGGTCGAGTTTGAGCGGCCTTCCACTCCTGGCTCCTCCACAGGGACACCAGTCAAAGAAGTGACTGTAGATATCAACATGGAGGAGCCGCTTGCTGATGAAAGGAAGAAGAAAAGAGAAGAAGAGCGAAAAAGCGTCATTGACGCCGTCAAGACTGCAGCTGCTGGCAAATCGTGGTTGAAAAAGCAAGACGCACAGGAAGGAATGGTTCAAAAGCTTGGGACATTAGAGAGGAGGAAAGCAAAGTCGCGGAGAGCCATGTATCCCCCGTTATCGACTTACTTCAATCCTGAGGACAAGGAGACACAGGACGCTTTGGAAGGAATCAGTCAAATTACCAGGAGACAACAGCACATGCATGTTAAGATGGTTGACATTTCACTCGAGGATGACAATCCTTCCTCTACGGGGAATAAAGCCGCTGACCAAGGAAAGACTAGGCCCAAGACGGTTTCTATAGCAACTGCTAATGAACCAACCTCCCCACCCAGACCGTCAACTTCACCGACCTCTCCTACGTCACCGTCTTATTACAAACCGGGAAAAGTTCCCGGACGTTCCTTAGTCGCAGCTCGAGCAGCCAGGTTGACAAATTTGATCGCCAATGACTTCCGACCTCTACCCGTGAAAGATAAAAGGGAAGAAAAAGAGGAGAGGAAAAATGTCTCTGCCGCTAAGAGTGAGCCATCTGACAAGAATGCAAGAGAGGAACAAGCTGCGCCCGCGGGCAGTCCCAGCGCGCAGCGGCGCTCTTTACCCAGAGTTCCTGCGGAGGAACCATTTCACTCTACCAAGGAAACAACGAAGATTGTCCAGCAAAAACAGAAGGGTAGAAAAGGTTTCCACTTTGGGAAGGGTAAAAAACAGGATAAGAAGACGGACAAAGAAGCTGAAGATATGGGATTTGTTGTCCTGGACTTAAACGATGGATTAAGCACGCCAGAGAAAGGTATGTGGCAAATATGATGTATTAATTGTTATGCAATCTAAAGGGATAATGCCTCTCCGTTCAGAATTTACTAACCGTTCAAACTATTTTTTGTCATCATTTCAACTTTATCAACTAGAGAAGTCTTGTCCATAAGACCATGTTATGACTGCCCAAAATGTCTTCTTTCATGGAAGGTTTTCTCGATAAAAAATATCGCATGGCACAAAATGGATATTGGGAGTATGAGTAAGAGACGAGTGAAAACCTTCCGGCTAGTCGGCTTTTGATACTCATGTCTGTAACAACAAGTATTCGTTTTTATCATAGTCAAGGTAAACAGACTGTAAACGTATAACAACCCATAACGTAACATAACTTAATATAATAGAACGTAACATAACGTAACGTAACGCAGCATAGTATAACATAAACTAACATAGCGTAACATAACATAACATCACCTTTATTTAAACTTCGGAATTACAGAGCAGCTGTAAAAGCTAATATCTCCATGAGTTATATTTTTCTGTAGGCAGTTATGTTCGATCCTCTCGTCATTTCGTTGGTAAAACTATCTTTTTAGCTAACGGTTGTATTTAATTCTCCATAGAAGCGATTCGGAAGCAGGAAGAAGAAGAGTTGTTTTCAGAATCAAGCGAAGACGATCTTTTAGATGAGAACAGTCCCAAGCTACAACGGTCAAACGCCAGGCGATTTGGCAAGGTGAGGTTTATTGTCATATTTTTCTGTCATTTCTGGATTCCCTCATAAAACAGTGCATCCTTTTCGAAATTCTCTTGCAGTTCTCCCTCCCCCACCCTATACAACGTTGAAACTCGGAAAAAAACACTCTGGATACGCGCGTCCAACGTTGTTTGTGGGTGAAGGAGGGGTTGGGCCTCTGTGAATTGGAAAACACCCCAGAAATGCAAAAGTGTCCCAAGATTTTTGTCCATGATTGTAGTTTCTTGGGTCCCGCCTCCACAGGTCCCCGATATTTCAGTTTGTGAGCGGCTTGTTTAATACTACATGATTGGTGTTGCTGCTGCATGGTGGTTCTGGCAGAGAATTTGGCCCATGTATATTATATATTATATCGATTCCTTAATGATATTTTCGCGAGGAAATAAATAATCACTGTCTTTAATGTGTTTTTTCTAGCCAAGACGAAATACGGAGTCGCCAGATGATAAGTTGAAAAAACGCGAACAAGCAAAGATTCGCAGTGCCATGAAACAACGCGAATCCAAGCGACTGCGCATGGCACAGTCCATCCAGCGAGAACTGGAAGAAACAGCTGTCAAACAAGCAGATTTGGAGCGAGAGGGAGTCGTTGTTGAAAAAGCTCTGCGTAGTGGAGGTGGTGAGTACCTTCACTCTTTCAGTCAACAAAGCAGTCAATTGATCGATCAATCAGTCAGGCAGTCCGTTAAGAAAGCAGGCCGTCAACCTGTCGTTTAGACTTGTGAGCAGTCAATCAGTCAGTCAGCCAGCCCTTGATCTATCATTAAGTTTATTAACAAGTGAGTCAATAAGTCAAATTATCAATGCCAGTGTCAACTAATCAGTCGATCAATCCATCGATGAATCAATCATTCCATTACGAAAACAGTTAGTTAGTCCGGTAGTCAGGTGATCTTTCAATCAGTCAATCCAAGAATTAATCAATCAGTCAGCTAGTCATTCACTCAGGCAGTCAATACTTTGCCGTTTTTCCCGCTTTGCTACTGATTTCGTTACTATTTTGTTTCGACCTCTAGCTGTTTTCTACACTCTGTTTCAGAAAGGATACTGTTTTTGTTGCTACTAATTTGTTTAACGACAGCAATCAGGCTGAAATATACAACCGCTGCGTGGTAGTATTGATGTGCCCTTAATTTGGTTTCTATTTACAGACACTGGAGCAGAAGAGCAGCAATTAATGTTACAGTGGTTCAAACTTGTAAACCGGAAAAATGCGCTCATACGATATGAATCAGAATTGGTAATCCAGTAAGTACCCGGCTCTTTTTTGAGCAAGCTATATATATTTTTCACATCTAAATTTATCGTAAAATTACGAAAATAAGCCCCGGGGCTTATATTTTTCAAAGGTCCTTTTTGCGGGGCTTAGTTTTAGAGGGGCTTATGTTTGGAGGGGCTTATCTACAGAGGGAAATTTGCGTTTCAAAATCGATTTGGCTAGCCTTATAGTTGGAAGGAAATTTGCCGTTTTTTTTAACTTTGTATTTGAGGGCAATTTCCAAGTACAAGCCCCCGGGGCGGGGGGTGGGGGGGGGGGGGGGGGCTAATTTTGGGGGGGGGGTTCAACGGGGGGGTTTTTTGGTTACGTTTTTGGGGGGGCTTATTTGGGGGGGGGTTTTTTTGGGGATTTTTAATGTTTTTTTTTTTTTCTTTTTTCCTTTTTTTGTGGGGGAAATCGCGGGGGGGGGGGGGGGGGGGGGGGGGGGCTTACATTTGGAGGGGCGATTCAACGGATGGTTTTTTGCGTTACGATTTTGGCGGGCTTATATTTGGAGGGGCTTATTTTCGGAATTTTACAGTATTTTGTTTTCTCCTGTTTGCCTCTTTAATGAGGGGAAATACAGAACGTCAGTAATTCCATCGCTCCATGTAAAGTGGTGACCGGATTTCGGAATCCGGAGTCCTCGGCTTTGGAATATAGGATTCAGCCCAAGGAATCTGGAATCCTACTAAAGAGTGAAATCTGAAATTCTATTTTCACTGACAAGGTATAATTTGAATCCGGAATCTACACTGTGGAATCCAGAATCCAATACTGAGTTGGATTCCCTTACATTGGGCGATTGCCATCTGAGGAAGATCAGGCAACTTGCCTAGTCTCTGTACGACGTTTTCCCAGTCCCTCTCGATAATTCACTTCGGTGACGTTTCCGAGGCGAACGGGCGGGAAAACACACATCTTTGCTTGGACCACATGACCTGAAAGGCTTTGGCCACGCGGAATAATGAGGCCTAGGAACTAGGAAAGCAACTTTAATTCAAACACAAAAACTTCAATATTTGACCAGCCTTAACCGTAACCATGTACTTGCTTTTAAATTGCAGTGCCAACTCCATTCAGCTTGAAGATCAACAAGGAAGACTGGAGGGGGAAATAAGAGAGCTTTTGATGAAAGAACGTAAGTTGAACTGATATTAATAGTCGCCCTGTCTCATTTCTTATGATTCTAGTTGCACGAAGAAATGTGCCCAAATTATTTTAATTAATTATTGTGCTAGCTGGATAAATGTGTAATGATTTGAGCCGATCTGTTTCTTTGTTTCAGATCCATCAAAGCAAGACAACAGAATCGTACAACAAAAGACGAAACAGTTAGTGGATATCGTGGAACAGAGAAATCAATTAGTGGAATTGCTGGAGGAAGAAAGAAAGAGGTAATGTTTCTCGTGCAGGTGCAACGTGCTTGACAAGACAGGGACTATGCCCTTATCGTCTATCTTCTTTGAATTTTTGTTTTTAATACTTCGTCTTGACTTTTTTAGAGAACAAGAAGAAGACAGGCTCTTTGATTCTATTCTTGCAGCAAAAGGTTTGTAGACGTAACTGTTGCGAAACAAACAAACCAAAATAATGCGAACAGTTTATGGGAGAATTATCTAATACCTAAACTTACCTCTTGACACAGCCTTTCATTTTTTCATAGTTAATAGAGTACAATGGTTTAATGAAGTCCGTCACCCAGTCCCTCCTTTGTTGTATCTTTTTGTGGACCAACGTTCAATAGCGTTCCTATCATTTAAAAACGTCTAAACGTCTCATTAATTTTTTTCCATTATAATTTGCCAAAAGAAAATTGTACACCGTCAGGGAGCTTTCAACATAAACTGCAACACCGTTGTTTTATCTTTGCTGTTTGCCGCCTTTCATAAACAGTCTCCTCTAATAACTATGATTCTTGCAGATTCGGATATGAAATAATTTTTCACTGAAGTGGAAGTGGCTTAATTTGCATTTGTCAACAAAAAACTTTTTCAAAGGTTTTGAGCGTTACCTGTTAAAGCTTCCAAAGCGAATTTCGTCACCTTCTTCGTGTATTTAGGGGACAGCTTGTCAGATTATTTGTCAATGTGAATTTTGTTTTTGTTTTTTACGGTAGCATATCGGGAAACCCATTTGCTCGTAACTTACGCGAGGCGTCGCTAGCTCGGAGGAGCTAGAAGTGAATCAGTGAATAGCACTGGATATCCCGACTTTGAGTAGCCAATCAGTGCGCGCGAAAGACACTATCCACTGTTTTTGTCTTAACTTAACTTAAATTCTTTTATCTCGCTTACTCAGCTTTGTGTAAAATAAATAGACATTCAAGTCGTATTTCACCTCAACATTCTAACCTCAAGTTTAGCTTCTGTGGCAAAGCATGTTAAATGATCAAAAGAATAAACTGCTCTTATATATAAACCTAAACTGGGTTTAATAGCACTTAAATTTTTCATAACTAAATAAAGTAGAAGTTGATGTCTAGGGAATCAAACTAAAGATGTAGAATGTTTAATTACTGACTTACTTTACGTCCTGTTGTGTATAGCTTTGTACAAAAGGCGAACATCTTCCAGAATCAGTTAAGTGAAAGAGTCTAAACTAATTTTATAGCAATAAACAAGCTGTAAATGATACAGTGAACAGGTTATAAGTAAATTAGCTTACTAAGAATAAACATTCTAAAAAACAAAGTGAGATAAAAAATAGAATTTAGGGCTGCCACTTTCATGGAAAAATTCAAGGAGGGCCAAATTTGTTTTACGACTGGAATAGTAGAGACATTTTTTGCAATAGTCTGCAGTCAGTCAGTGAACAATTAAGGAATTTTAATTTTATGTTGACGAATAAAGGATCTGCAGTTGTGACTATTCTGATACTTAGAGACAGAAAAAGATCTAGATTCTGTGAAAGCGTTTTAAACAAGTTAAAATTAAGAGAAGACTATCCAATGCCTGCGAAACCATATGATCAGTTAAAAACGTCTTGTAGTCAAGGAATTTACTTTCTTCTCACTAAGCGGCAATCCTGGGGGTAAATTGGTTGTACAGCAGTAAAAAGGGGTGATTGAAAGACATTAATTAGTATGTGTTAAAAGTTAATCAAATGTAAAATGAAATCTATAGATGGTAGAGAACAAATAAACGATAAACAGGGTGAAACAAATTTTCATCTAATTTCTACATGTTGTATTGTCGGCAATATATCCGTTTGAACATCACTTAAATAATTAAAGTAGTTAAAATTAGTCAAAAAGAAAGCTATGTTGAAATTATTTAATATAAGGCAGCAGACGTTTGTTCAACAGATTTCCCATTAACAGTTTCTACTGGGAGTTTACCCCATTCACTGGGTCAATGAATGTTCATTTAAGTCCTAGACTGCTAAATGTTTTGCTCTTTCTCTTCCACGCGGTAATCAGTAAGCATAGGGAATCATGGGAAGGATACAAGACGCGCGGAAGCAGTTCATCAGCTAAAAAAGTTGTTATAAACAACTTTGTACTCTCCTGGAGGCGATAAACTTGAAGAAGAGAAACTTCAAAAGAAGATAACAGCATTTTACGCTCGTTTTGTTTAGTAGATTGCAAACAGTGGGAATGCTTATCATAACTGTACCGTAGTAGTAACAATCCAAGGCCGCGCCTTCTTAACCTCTTGTGTTTCGTTTTTGGCAGGTTTTATAACGACTGTATGAATACCGGAGTTGTATTAATGGCCAATACCTGCGCGCTGCCCGAAGGTGAAGCTACAGACTGAAGCGCACACTTCGCTGAACGCCTTTTTCCTATTGAGCTAGGATCACTATGTTCAATCGTCATGATCGCGAACGATGGATGCTGTTTAAAATTTAGCTTTAACAGTTACTACGTCATGTAACATGTAACACTCTAGAAGCTCCGATCCGAAACAATTAAGTTAAGTTTGTAATCGACATAAGAGAAATTGGAAATTGCTTTTGACAATTTGTTTGAGGTACCTTATTTTGCCCAAATGCTTATCTTTTTATCCCAGTGTTGGCCCGAGTGAAAACAATTTACAAAGTTTCAAATTTCCTTTTTGTAAATCTTAAGATGAAAATAGCACTTTCAAAGAAAGCTTTCATTTGAATGGTTTTACTGTAGGAGATCGGGCACAGTTAGAGTAAAAAAGGTCACCTCGCCTTAACTTTTAGTAGGGAAAGAGTATCAATGCGCTATCCGTTAATTTGAAAATTCTTCATCAAGAAGTCACTACTACTTTATTGACCATGGTTCGTTATTATCGAAACATGACCATGCTTGATATAGCTTAGCACTGGAGGATTCAGTAACGCTGAGCCTACTGTCAGAACCTCATTTTCTATTCATGACTTCCGTATTCAAGTGAAGTTAAACAAGAAAAAGGATGCTATGAAGTCACTACTTTTGTGTTTGAGTAAGTTACTTACTTACTTAAAGAGAAAAAGTGGACGTGATACGTCGGTGTATATTCGCTGTGAAACTGTGCAGGAAAATTGATCGATTCAGTAATTTTAAGAGCTTTTAAGAGCGATATTAAAATATCGGTAAATGAATTTAAGTGATAGATGTAATCTGGGCAAAGCTAAGCTCATGTTGTCGATTTTTTTGTGCAAATAGTGTTTGTGACCATTTGAGATAATCTAACTGAATTACTGGGCTGATTAAGCAATAGGACGGGAACGTCAGTTGACGACGGGAAAGCGCGCGGAAAGGACTAGACACGACTTCCGGTGCCCACTTTACTCCTCTGCCATTGGTTAAGCCATTTGTTTGATTTGCGCGCGCCATCGTCAACTGAGGTTCCTGTTCCGTTGCTAAATCGGTCTATTCGCCCCATGTAAGGGATTCTGGATTTCGGAATCCAATAAATTTTTGCTTGTGGAATCCAGAATCTAGGAGAATTTGCTTGTAGAAACCGGAATCCTGGGCTTTGGAGTCCGGAATACAGCTCAAGGAATCCGCAATCCTTCTATAGATTGGAATCCAGAATCCAAGTTCCACTGACAAAGACCGGAATCCAGTACCTGAGAATCGGAATCCACGGCGTGCAATCCAGAATCCAAGACAGTCCTGAATTCCCTTGCATGGGGTAAGAATTATACAGAAGACTTGTCAGTTTTAAATTGTTCTTACCCAAAGAGAAATCTCGAGTGCGAAGCATTATAAGTGCCTTATTTATACCTTGAACATGTATAGAGACACAAAAAGGGAAATAAGTTGTTCTAGGAAATCCAGCCTTTTCCAGGCTTTGCATTAGAGAGGCAAACAGAAAAAGGAAGCGCGAGAAAACAAAATAGCAACAACAACAACAAAGACAAAGACAACTAGAAACAAAAAAATTCTTGTCAGACGTCTCTATAGCTCCTCCGGTTTTTCTTGGCGGCTGAAACTAGAAACTAGAGCCGAAAAAACCAGATGCTCTCGCAGGACAACGTCTCCACTAATATTTAAGGGAGTCTGGAACAGGCTGAAAGCTACAATCAGGGACAAAAGTAGTTGACACACTTGTTTAAAACGGGTGCTTTTAACAAACATTTAATTCATTTATTATTTCATTCCTTTTAAACGCCGCAAATCCCCCGACCCCCCGAATCAATGTTGTCTGAAGTAAAAAAAAGACTTGAGGGTCCAAAATTCAACATTGATTTTGGGGGCAAGGGGTTGGGGTAGACAGGGGAAGGGGATAAGTATATCCACTATGCAAAAAGGGGCCATTTTACGGAAGTGTGTCAACACTTTTGTCCCTCATTGTCTGAATGCAAAATTGTGCTACTGCACACAAGTTGAGCCGTGTATGACACTGATTTTAACTGAAATTAAAGGAATCAATGACATAATTATGTTATTGGTGGTGGGGGTGACATTGACTTATTCACGACCGAATTATAGGGCCAATTCGAATTACGTGATGGCGTAATAAAAGGGCTGCGATATCCAGAATAAACGTCGATATGGTTTACATGCTAAAAACTGACGCTGAAACTCGCACACATGTACAACTTTTGATGAATTTCAAGGGTATGCGTACTGAAAATATTTTTAATAAAGTGAATATTTCTCGTTCTTCACTTTATCCGATTGTTAAGGCGCAAACAGTCACGGGTAGGGTAAGGATTGACACGTAGTGGAGATAGTCACTGGCCAGTCACGGAAATATGGAATGTTAGTGAGGAGCGGCCGTCACTGCGTTCAATATCGAAACTACGGAAAAGTGAAGGTACATTCATGGCCAATTCAATAAAAAACTAAGGACTGCGTAGCAAACATTGCAAGTGTACACGAAAACAATTACTTTCAATCCCACCTCGTGACACCCTGTGTGACATGATAACGCAACGTAAATAGCGTGACATGAGCGCATATGTCTGTGTATTTGGACTGCATTTCTCAAGCGAAACCCTGTGTTGTTGTCTATTGTCGGGATAGAAAATGAAAAGAGAGCATTGAAACGTGAACTGGTATTTGACTCTCAAAGAAAACGACAGCTCAAACTGAGGAAAACACTGCTTCCTTCGTGTTACAACGGTTAACCACGTTTCGGCAAACGGAAAGTAACATATTAAGTCTGTTATGACCTCTTAATGTCGATATGTATTCTCGTGGTTAACCGTTGAAACTCCTTATTTGCACCACATCGCTGGATTTTTTCTGGCCAAGAATACGTATTGCGAAGCACTTTCTACATAGCGGAATCTTCTTTTGCCTTTTGTGAGGAATTAGCGCATAAAAAGGAAGATTTTCTAAAGCACGGCCGTCATCGATCACGTGTTATCCCGCTTTCCTTGTCATCAAGTGAACTTCTGGGCCAAAGTAATTGCTGTTTTGGCGATGATACAAACTGGTGTGTCTATCTTGAAAACAATTTCTTTGGTATTCTGTGATTTACGAGCTGGGAAATGAAATAGTTGTCCACCCAACGCCAATAAAAAAAATGCCTCTGAATAAATGGCAGGCGGTCATCTAAAATCATTACAAAAGTACATTCCTAACCTGGTCTAACCTGTTCGACGCCTACACACGCTAAAGGTTTGGATCTGCTAGATTTGAAAAGGTCTCCAAAAAAAAAATCATCTATTTATAGGGCATAGCACAAACGACTGGCTCATCATTTATGAGGTTCATAACCTGTATATTGTTCACGTCCTTTCACTAATGGCACAAGTCAATGTCAACAATAATGCATGTTGCAGTACTTCATTCGCTTAAGTAAACCATTTACCAGAACAATTTTCATTGTACCTTAGTGTTTCCATCCTTTTTCCACTATTGATAATACTTGTAAAAAAAATTACATCCGCAGCAGCGGCATTGATCACAACACAAACGATTTCCTCTCGACCCGACAGGGTATCAGGAACGCGCGCAGGAGTACAAGATTAAGTAATGACATACGCTTCGTACATTTTACTCTACGTATACTACAAATCAGGACCAAACTTTTCAAATTGTTGTTTATAAACAAACAATTTGGTCCATAGAGTAACGTCATCGCACAAAAATTCAGCAGCGTCCAAAATCTAGCCGGAAAACACAGATACATATTTCAGACAATCAGGGACAAAAGTAGTTGACACACTTGTTTAAAACGGGTGCTTTTAACAAACATTTAATTCATTTATTATTTCATTCCTTTTAAACGCCGTAAATCCCCCGACCCCCCGAATCAATGTTGTCTGAAGTAAAAAAAAGACTTGAGGGTCCAAAATTCAACATTGATTTTGGGGGCAAGGGGTTGGGGTAGACAGGGGAAGGGGATAAGTATATCCACTATGCAAAAAGGGGCCATTTTACGGAAGTGTGTCAACACTTTTGTCCCTCATTGTACCAGGAGACCAGTCTCCTGGGGGACAATTCCATAGCGGTGTGCAAATTTATTGTTTAGCATCTTGAAGAGAGTTTTTCTGGACTGGATTTCAGGATTTGAAGGCCTCTTCGGTACACCTCTATCCAACCTTTCCTAAGGACCCAACCCCCTCCACCTTCGCCGGGGACTAGTCCCTGGTGACATGAGAATCGCTGTACAATGTTTCTTCTCCTCCGTTAATGCTAGCGATTAAAAAAATGCAAAAGCTGTGAAGGGTACTTAGAGGCAACGTTCAGATAAACTCAGATAAGAGAGTTTACCCCTTGATCCTCTTTGCGCATGCTTGGATGATTTCTTGGGGGTAAGAACATTCTAGGCTAAGGGAAATTTAAAGAATACCGCTCCAAATGAAATTGTTAAATTGTATAAAAATGTAAAAAATAATAAGACCATGTAAATTAATTAATGAAAATAAAACGCGTATTTCATCATTACTTGGATTTTTACTTTTGTAGTTCAACTATTGGTCTCCACATTTAAATCGTTGTAGTAAAGGGTTAACTTTAGGAGAAGGGAGATGGCGCTTGCTTTCACAGTAATTTTTCACATCCACCGGCTAATGACTATGTACAGAAGCATATGCTTCTGCTATGTGAGCACCAGACCCATTCCCCCACCCCACCCCCGCCCCTATCGACACACTGTAATTTCCGAGAGTAGCCCGCAGCCCTCCGATTATCCTCGGTTTTCACATGACGTCACCAAAATTCAAACTAATGAATTATCGATTCTTCTGAGTTTCTACCTTCATAAGGCATTACAGCACCTAACACCTTTATTTAAACAAATTTTCGGTTTGAAAGGGTACTTCGTTTTGCAATAGAGGCGGCTTCAAATTTCAAGGCTTTTGCGTGAAAAAAAAGAATTGTGGGTTAAAAACGTTGCCGATTTCGTGAGATTTTTCTATCATAACATTCCTCATCTAGGAATGAATGTTACTTTAATCTATATGAGTTCCTTAAACGATGAATTCACACATTTGTAGGAAAACTCAAAGACAGATGTTTCTGTTGGTTTCCGGCAGCCATATTTGTGCCCCTCAAAGGGACACAGACATGGCATGATACACTGCGTTTCGTGTTTAATAGATAACTTTTCTTTCGCGTTTTTCAAGTCAGATGAAACACTCCATCTCGTGTTTGATCAAGTACTTCTCGTTGTTGGATCTTGGCTGAAACACTGCGTATCATGTTTGATATACCTTATTAGTACTTAATTTCGCGGGTCTTTTATTTCGCGTTTTTCGCGATTGTGAAAAAATCGAGAAATTAAAGACCCGCGAAAATATATTCTCGCGAAATTTAAAATCCGAATAGAAAATTCAAACCAGAATTAACTTGAAATAGAAACAACATATACAGGGATATGTATGGACGAACACAAATTGCTAACCGGTTTTACTAATAATAGTAAATAATATGAACTTATTGTGCGAAACTTAACATAAGAATGATTAGCTACGCATTACAACTGCATTACTTTACGCGAAACAGATAGAAGATGATACGGGTAAGTTCCATTTTGTATCTACAGTTTTATATAACGTTAGTTTGTAAAGATTTTATTCACACATTACTTGTAATATCTAAAACTTTTTAACGGTTCAGACTTTGAAAAAAATAGTTTAGATCGCTTAAACGCGCGAATTTTAATGCCCTTTTTTCATATTTGCTGCTAAAATCGCGAAAATAGAACCCCGCGAAATACTGTCTCGTCAAAATCGCGGAATTAAGTACCAATAAGGTGGTACACTGGAGAACCGAAATAACGAGATGCCCAGGACGGTTATAATGGGTACGTTACAACTGGGGCACTGAATAGATTTCGTTCTTTAAATAAGGGGTCATTATATCCGACTTTCGATAAATGACATGAAAGATGAAGAAGTAGACAGGCAATAATTTTATTGATCCGAGAGACTTTCAAAGATAATCGTAAATCTCCCTTTTATGGGTACATGAGCGTTACCTCGTACAGATATAAAAATTTCAAATCTACTTTTAAGAGCAGATTGCTATTCTTTGCCAAAACAAGGTTACCTTAATGCTGAGGCAAAACTGGTGTAAACTTTTAAAGCCCCGAAGCTATATCCGGAGCTTACAGAAGTCATTTTTCTTTATATCGTCTTCGATCGTAGCAATGTTGACCCGAACCGAGCTGCACCTTGCATAGAATCACAGATTAGCGTGAGCCCGCCAAAGCCTTTTGCAATCTGCCGCAACACTGTGAACAATGCAAACTGGTCGAGCAGTCTAGCAGAATATTGAAATTAAAACCTGTTTAAGACCACTAACTGCTGAACACAGCTAAATCTTTCCTTTTAAAACTTGCACTCGAGATTATCCGGAAGAGTTTAATTCGACTATGCTTATGTAATTTAGTTGACCAATACATGCAAAGCACTTTCAATCGGATTTAAGCTCCAAGCTCAACTTGACTTATTTCTCCGGTTCCGCCTCTTCTCTAACAGCCTCATACTGTTCTTCTTCTCCTTCATCATCCGCATCACCTTCTTCAGCTTCGGCATTCGCTTGGGTGTCCTGTGCGTTAGGAATCCACAGGCCGGAGTCGATGCATTTTTTCAAATACCCTCTGGCTTCCTCTTCCGGCATTTTACCGAGAACTTGTTGCAACATCGGAATATCTTTTTCCTCAAAGCACTTTTGAAGCTCCTGGAAAAAAAAGTTGGTTTTGGAAATTAACATTCTTCTGGATAAGTATTTACCTTTCAATTATCATGATCTCATCACGCATGCGGTATCCGGTTGTTACGCCGCAAAATGACGCACAATGAAACATTAACGCCAAATGTAACAACTTTTGACGCATAGTGTAACATTGACGCGAAATGTAACAAATTCTGACAAAAAATGTAACAACTTATCGACGCAAAATGAAACAATATTTTTAACGCGAAATGTGAAAACGCAAAATGCAACAGCCTTGAAATAACTGAGAAACTTGGAATAAGCCCTCAGTTGTCAAATTTTGTGGTAACGTAAAGAGAATATTTATTGAGATTTTCGATATTAAATGGTGATTATTAAAAACTGGACTAAGGTCATGTATGGATTTCCTGCATTTTGGTCGGGACTCGGCTCAACGGAGAAGGGTTATCAGCTTCAGCCATAAACCTGCTCAATGATGACCAAATATGGTAAATGAACTGGTCAGAGAGTCAGCTAAAAAGTCGAAGCTGAAGCTAAATCTTCCTAATGACCAAAATAATAGTTTTTAAAAAGGTAGGTTTTAAGTTTTTGCTTAAAAAGACTTAGATTCTCGCATGATCGTATGTCGTCAGGTAGTTTGTTCCAAAGTTCAGGGACGAAGACAGCGAATGCTCTAGACCCATAGGTCTTAAGGTTAAAGCTAACAGGATTCAGACTGAGCGTAAAAGATGACCGAAGCGATCTAGACGGTAAGTAGCGGGTGATTAAGTCTTGAATGTACGTTGGGGATTGCTGATGCAAAGACTTGAATGTAAGTAGTAAAATCTTGAATTAAATTCGTTCAGAAACAGGTAGCCAGTGAAGATCGAAGAGGATAGGAGTGATGTGATCACACTTCCTAGAGCGTGTAATCAGTCTGGCAGCCGCATTCTGTACCGATTGAAGCTTTTTTATGACGTTTTTAGGGACATTATGTGGTAGAGAATTGCTTACATCACTTAAGAATATCAAATTATTGGGCAGTGCGTTGAGCCGTTGGCGTTGTCTCCGTCATCCTTCCTTGTCAGTTAGAGGGGCCGTAACCCAGTCTACTTTTCGAAAACATCAGGGGACCTCGTTTCCGTCGGTGTGCTCTATCTCCTACAGAGTGAGGGAACTGTCACCCGCCCGCAATAGTTAGCCTTACGCTGTTGCAGTCACTCTAGGCTCGATGAACAGCCCGACGCTGTTTGGTAGGACCCGAGAGCGGCAGAAATCGAGCCTACGGTCACCCAGGCAAGAATACGCGCGGTCTGTTGCGACACTCGACAACATACTCACCGGTGGTAATGATTCAAAAACCTCCACAGGATCCAGGCCTCCAGGTCCGAGTCTCTTTTGACGATCCTCCTGAAAAATAAAACATAACAACGTACATTGTATTAAAAGGTGGCTGAGATCACAGTTTCACGCAGTTAAACAAGAAAAATATTATTTGCAAAAGCTTAGCAAAATACTTTAAAGCAAAGGTTGTTACTTTCGATCTCCAATTAGTGAAAGGCCAATACGCTGTTAACTATTAATTTACTAAACTTCGTGAAAGTTTTCTTAACCGTTCTGAGTGTTGGAAAACTGAAATTGACTATACTGACGACGCTATTTTGCAACATAATTGTAGTTGTTCGCAAAGTATTTTCAACGAAATAGAAGTTTATTACCTCCAGAATAGTGTCAAGATAGTTACGTAAACTAATTCTTATTATTGCCATAAATGTTTCACTAAAATGGTAAATGAAACAAAAAAACGCTATAGACGTCAGACCGCGGTGGAACTCACAGGAAAGAGCAGGATAACGACTGACAAGAACAGCTTACAATGAGCACAAGTTTTGGAAAAACTAAACGACAAAAAATGCCAACTCAAAAGGCAAAAGCAAGATGGAAAACAGACTCTAGTAAAATAGTGATCTGCCTCCTGCCAAATGGGAGAATTTTGGAGAGAATTTTTTTGTGTTTAAAGATAATTCTCAAAACCTTTACTCTAGATTATGTACTGAAATTGTTAGGAGAAAACTGATGTTGGTCATGATCACTCTCGTGACTTAAAGGCTTAAGCTGCCAGTTGTCCCTTCCCGCGGGTGGACGCTTCTGAATAAAGTTAAAGTACTGTTTAAAAAACGAGCAGGGCCGGGTTGTTCAAAGCTGGGTTAAGACAACCCAGGGTTGGTGCGAAATTTTAATTCAGATCATTATGAAAGCTTAAAAATAACATTCTGTTTTTATTTCTCTTTGCATATAGTTTGTTAATCGAATGCTCTGAAATGCTTTTGAACAAAAGAAAAACAGACCCGAATTAAAATTAAACCCCGGGTTAGCGCTAATCGGACTTCAAACAACTGGGTCCAGGAGTGTATTATCAGGTTTAAAAACTCGAGGCGAAGCCGAGAGTTTTTACACCTGAAAATACATGATTGCGAGTTTTTTGAGCGGCTTCAAAATCTCTGATATCGATGAACTCATTCTTGCATTAATGTTTAGAACTGGTGTTATTTTGGTCTAAAAAATTGGACGTAAAGTTTAGCCGTGTCCCTACCAGATAAAAAGACACTCATTAAACATTCGTTTCTTTTGTTTTTTCTTCATGAATTAGAAAATACGTTTTTGAATCGGCTTTATTTCGTGTATTCTTCCTGTTTTTGAGTCACACCTCTTCAGCTTCCTTCATAGCTCTCTCAATCCTGGCCTCAGCTCTTTCTTTGACTCTCACTAAAAACGACTTGAGTTCGTCATCAAAGGCCTCCATGTACTCTTTGAAGTCAGTTTTTGCTTTTTTCATCCTTAGAAAGATAACAAGGTCAAACGTAAATACACACTATGTGTTAACCTCTAATCTATGGGCCTGGTTGTCGACTATACTAACTTGCCTTTTTTAATCCAGGTTTAGTTACCATGAAAACTCACCGGTTTCATTTTACAATAAACTCAGGATTATAGCTATGGCATGGAAGAATTCGAGATGAACCATGCTATCAGTATATGGGTTCATATGTGGCACACACCCTGCATACTGCTAGTAATGTATAATGAGGCGGAGACGATGATGGTATTAAAGGCTACCAAGCCATTTAATAGGTTCATGATACCATATATGTGACACATGTTCTGCATAATGCTAGGATCAACAGTGATTAAAGAGTACTTTACAAAGATGGGGACACAATTATGGTAAGGCTTCTAAGCCATTTACTATATAGATTCTTTTGTGACACACGACCTACATACTGCTTGGATCAGCAACGATGAAAGAGTACTGTATGATGATACGGAGATACTTCTGGTAAGGCTACTAAGCCATTTGCTAGCATAGGTTCATATGTGACACCTGTCAACGCATGCTTTGTAATGATATAGCTAATGAAATACGGTAACTAATGTAGGCTAGGGGAAAAAATGCCAAAAATGTACTTACTTGGTAAAGAATGAGTGTACAGTGGCTTGCGGAGCAGCATCTAATGACTTGGCCAGCTCCAGTATATACTGCATAATGATTGTCTGGTGAGCTACTCGCTCCATAAGGGAATGTTTCTGTTGTAAGTGATAAAACCGATGATGAGATGATTTATTATACATGTATGGCTGGTTCAGCAAGTGGGCAAGATAAAGACTTGATTTCCATATTTGTTGATCGTTCAAGATGGGTATATCTTACCCAGCTCTAGATTTCCTTTGTTCCAGTATGAAAAGTGTCCTATTGGTGATATACGGAAAGTAAAATCATTTTGTTGTTGTGTTGTAGTTGTTGTTTGAGTCCTCTAGGTTTCACATTTCACTTCGACTTCTAGCCTCTTTCTTGGTTTCATTGAAAAGGCGGGTATTGATTCTACGAAAGTTCATATTCTCAGTAAAATTTGTCCATTTGATAACTACATGTGTCTGCCACTTTCTAATTCAAATTGGTAAATAAAAATGCGTTCTGAGATTGGTCATTCATCAGAATTATTTCAGTCTTTCTACAAGGCACCGAAAAGTTACCTAAACTAACAGAATGATTAGAGAACACACTAGCAGGGGTTTCAATAAGTTTTTTTACAAGCGGCTGCTGGAGGTAGATCAGGCGGCTGTGACAACAAAAGGGGCCGTAAGGCTTTTCACTGGGGGGGTCTAGGGGCATGCTCCCCCAGAAAAAGTTGAAATTTAGAAGCTCGGAAATGCAATTTCCAGCATTCTGGGAACCAAAAAGAGTGTTGTTTATGATTACTTTTATTGACCAATGGACACAGTTTTGGAAGAAGCTAATAATGTTTTAGATTTATTAAAGATGCACTTTGAAAACTTCTTTCGCTATGTCGATGACATTAAATATCCACTGCAGCAGTAACGTGTTTGAAGCACTGTTTTAAATCGAGCATCAGTCGCTATTCATTTTTGTATACCAACATGGCGGCCAACTATGATCCTTGAAACACGAGATTTCTCGTTTGAGAAGAAAATCTCTTAACTGATACAAACCTAACAATCCTTGTTTTGACTGAACTATTAGCTACTTTACCTGGCCATGGTCATGGAAGATGTTGTAGCATGCATTTCAAGATTCGAAAATTTCAGTCGTGGTTTTTGACGTTGTTTTTCGTTTCTTTTTTTCTTTATTTACTTATTGATTTAGTTCTAGAAATCTTAGAAATACAAACTGAATAGAAGGCGGTAATTAAGAGGCATGATAGGCGGCGGCAAACCGCCGGTAACCGGCTTTTATTGAAATCATTGCACTAGCAGCGCTATAGTTGATTAACTGAATTAAGGTGGCTCCGTAATTAATACAAGAGCATTTAGCTGTGACAAATTTTCCGTCATAACTTTTTCGATTTTAACGCGATGGCTGCGAAACTTTGCAAAGAACAACAGATATCATTCGGCAATAATACGAAGTATTCCGATTTCATTGATGGTAAATATTTCTTAAGAAATTAGAGCTTTAAAGGACCCTACTGTTCAAAGAAAATCGCGTCTAATAAAAAATTTTGCTGATATTTTTTACTGAAATTTCTGGTATCGGCTTTAATTGATATAATAAATATGCCAGAGGAATTTCAGAAAAATCGTTGGAGCAGAAGTCCGTAACTAAAAGTCGCTCAAAATTCAGCTGTGAAATTGTTTTGGAATTTCAAAAATAAATTACTATCAGGAAGAAGGAGACACCAGTTTCAATTTAAGGGACAAGGAAATTCAGTGTTTGCTAATTCTGAAAACGGAAGCCGATTGCCTATCGTGCTATTCTTTAAAAGGTACTTTTCAGTTTTAGAAGCACTATAAATTGCACCAAACTTTGCTCTGACGTCGAATGACTTGTTCCTCGACATTTTTGAAATATACCTTGGCAGTTTTAGTTCAAACTCCTGCTACATACATTTTGATGTATTGCAATGCATCCTCAACGGCTTCTCCTGCTGTACGTTGTTTCCAATTCAGGAAAAAGGTATTGGGATTGTAAGCTACCTTGTATCGAAGCTCAGATAGAACTGTCGAGCACCTTTGTTTATGACCAGAAAATGAGCACGAGCGGCAGCTCTGCGAGGAATTCGCACCTCAGCCAGGGGGGACGAATGACAATGATGCCCATGTCTGTGAACCGATCTGTATAAACATGTCTTGCAGAGCAAAACATAATAATCAAGAAAAAAATACCCATTCATTGAAGGAAGGAGTGACAAAAATTTCAGAGTTATAAATTTATTAACGGGCAGTATTTTTGTGATAATTTTATTTTGCACTGTGATGTTATTCGGTTCACAGGCATGGTCATCATTGTCGTTCGTCCCCCCTGGGTGAGGTGCGAATTCCTCGCAGAACTGCCGCTCGTGCTCATTTTGTAGTCATAAACAAAGGTGCTGGACAGTTCTATCTGAGCTCGGATACGAGGTAGCGTCCAATCTCAATACTTTTTTCCTGAGTTGGAGGCAACGAACAGCGGTAAAAGTCGTTGAAAATGCATGGCAACACATCAAAATATATGCAGCAGGAGTTTCAGCCAAAACTGCCAAGGGATATTTTAAAACTGTCGAAGAACAAGTAATTCTACTTCAGAGCAAGGTTTGGTGCAATTTATGGTGCTTCTAAAACTAAAAAGTACCTTTTAAAGAATAGCACGATAGGCAATCGGCTTTTTTTTTAAGAATTAGCAAGCGTTGAATTTACTTGTCCCGAAAATTCAAACTGGTGGCTCCTTCTTCCTGATAGTAATTTATTTTTGAAATTCCAAAACAATTTCACAGCTGAATTTTGAGCGACTTTTATTTACGGACTTCTGCTCCAACGATTTTTCTGAAATTCCTCTGGCATATTTATTATATCAATTAAAGCCGATACCAGAAATTTCAGTAAAAAATATCAGCAAAATTTTTTACTAGACGCGATTTTCTTTGAACAGTAGGGTCCTTTTAACCGCTAATTTCTCAAGAAATATTTACCATCAATGAAATCGGAATATTTCGTATTATTGCCGAATGATATCTGTTGTTCTTTGCAAAGTTTCGTAGCCATCGGGTTAAAATCGTAAAAGTTATGACGGAAAATTTTTCACAGCTAAATGCTCTTGTATTAATTACGGAGCCACCTTAAATCACCTCTTGTACTTCCAAGCTGATACACCACAATGCAAGATAGTTTGCAGTGTCCTCACAAGCCAAGTGAGGATTCTTACGCAAATAATCTTCACTATCATTGTAGTCCTGCAGCATTCCAAAGTGTTCAATTTCTTTTTTGTATTTGTCCATGAAGGCTTGCTATAAAAAAAAAAAAAAAAACACACAGTTAAAATACGGAAAATGATGCACGATAAAGTAATTAAAGGTGAAATGGAAATTTCTTTTTCTGGATAATTTCAGCGCAAGGTGCATTCTGTTATGTTTTAACAATGATACTATTGAGCTCTGTCTACCCTCAGCAATAGACTCCTTTACAGTTGTATGGGGGGAAAATCAAAAGTTTGTATGGAAATACAAAGAATGAATGAAAATTGTAACTAATAAATTAAAACTTAAAGAAACTACACACTAAATCTGGAGTGCATAGCAGTCCTTTGTTGCTGTTTAGAAAACCTGAGTGTTCCACCCATTTTTTTTTTTCCTGTTATCCAACAACACAAAAATTACACATTAATTAATGTATGGAAGAAGTCATATTTTCTAAAAAGTGACAAATGATTACTGTGCTCTCCACATTTAGTGTTTAGTTTCTTTTAGTTCATTGGTTAAAGTTTGCAAAGAGGAAGTGATAAATATGTTCAATTAGGAAGAATCAGTTGACTTTGAGTTGCCATACAAACTTTTTACTTTCCCGCCATCTTGTCCTGATTACCCAGGATACCCTCACGACCGTGAAGGGGTCAAATTTACAGCAACACAACTAAGAAAGAGGCATTAGCAATAACGTGAAACAAATAAATCACATAATTTTTTTAAAAAACGCATGAAAAAGTTAAGAATTCCAATTAGTAGAAGGCAAACCTATGGACTATCAACACGTGTTACTGAAAAGTTGAACTTGAGATAGCAAAAGAAAAAAATCCAGCTAGTTGCCAGGCCTTAACTAAGGCCTCCATTTACAAAAATGAAAAAATGTGACGTACAGATCTTTCAGCTTTCTCATCTTCGGTCAAACTATCATCTGGATTCTTCTTTGGTGCATTTATTATCTGATTTATAACAAAAATGTAAAAATGAGTTGTTTACATAAGGTGCATGTGCAAAATGATTTACATGTACATTTTCCTTCCTTGTATAGGCAGCAGTGGAAAATGAGGTTAAAAAACTGAAAAATCTATTGTATCCCAGACTCAGAAGGTTTCCATAGGCCTAACTTTGAACTGTCAAAACTCATGCTTGGCTCTCTAACCAAAGAAATCACATTGAAATTCAGGGATAAATTCTTCGTTTCTTTTGCCTTATTTCCTGCAGCCTTAGAGCCACGTTTAAAATGTTTTTTTCTTGGTCCGTCCCACAAAACGCCCGAGACAAGCAGATGACCACGCGCGTGACTGAAGAAAAAGAGAGACAGCTCGCAGTCTAACTCAAAACTGGCCAATTGACGAATTCAAACACTGTAATTTTTTTGTCCTTAATGGTCTGATCACTAGCACATTGTTGTTTATTCGATTTAAAAAAAAAAAACTGGATTGCATACTTACTGTTCTGGTAAATCCTGCATGACTTAGTGTATCAACATTCTTTGGAGCTTTCTATAACAAACATACACATGGAAAAGAAAATTAATCATAAAGCCAATGATGACAGTATAATTTGCAAAAAATTTAAAAAATATGAGACATGTATCTAGGACAGTAAATATACAGTTGATTAAGTAAACTTCAAAAGGAATGGTGAGAAGATCATCACAGTTTAAAACACAACTCAAGCAATTGTGAAAAGAAAGCCTGTAAAAACTCAGGCTTACTGCACCAAAATTCAAACCGTAACATCTGTGATACCGGTGCAGCGTTCTGGCAAGCCAACTGGTCTTAAACAACAATCACACTGATTTTGACATGAATATAGAACTGTTTTGAAATGTTCTTACCAATTAATTTAACCCTTAATTGAACTCTAGCCCATGCGATAAGTATGTGTAATCAAATGGTGTCAAGTGGATTTAAAGAATAACCTGGATGTCATTTTGGTACTGTAGGAAAAGTCACCATAGCAACATTGTAAATTCACAATTGAAATGATATATAAAATGCTGAAATTTTGTGCCAAAATGAAGAAGGGGGGGGGGGGGGGGGGAGTTTTTTTGCGCCCCCGCCCCCACTTTTGGAAAATCAAATACTATGATTTTATTCCTTTTTTCGATTTTCAATATGAAAAAATTATTTTCAATCGTCAGCCCTCCCACTTTTCACCTTGTTCCGCGGTCCCTGGTAAGGGTTTGCGGTATTGCGGTATTGGGTTATTTTTGGTGCGGTGTTGCGGTAATTTTTATTTCAAAGTACGGTATTGCGGTTTTCAGAGACCAGGCGGTGTGCGGTAAGTTTAAATTTTATGTCGCGGTAGTCGGTGAAAAAATCGTTGTGTCGCGGTGATCTGCTTCTTTTTCATGCCGAGAGGATACAAATCCTGAAAGGTCTCCCTAGCTAGCCGGCGTGACCTGCGTGTCTTCCTATAGCTGTGCAGTCGGGAATCGTATATTGCGCAAACAGTCCAGACAAATCGTATCGCTCGTAATTTCAGTTAATACTCATATGATTAACGACATTAACTTTTTTATCCAATGATACGTAAACATGTCGCATTATTTATGACCTCATGGACCTTGTGGGAATAGTCAGCTTGGTTTATAACCTCCTTACCAATCTTACCGCCACCTTCGTGCCAGTCGCGAAACAATGGCGAGCGATCCAGAGGGTCAACTAAGTGATCAGTCAGATATTCCAGCAAATAGTGACGTCAGTGAGGTCGTTATAAATTGCGTAATGTGAAGATGGTGTGGTCTAAAGTTTACTACTCGTCCTTCTCGTTGTGCATGCAGAAATATAGAATGTACAAGTATTCGTGTGTGCTTAGCCTACGTAACATGGTAGCCCGGGTCGGAGAGGGGGGGGGGGGGGGGGTTTCTTCCTTATAATAGGCTAATGGGGATGTGCCGCTGGATGGGGTCGCATTTTTAAGAGAGTTACTAGAATGGGGTCGCGCATTTTCTGATTTTGGGGGGTAAGACAGTTCTTCATATTTACGGTTAGCAAACGTACCAGAATGTTTGTACTGTAGATGAAAAGTAAAGTGTTCTTCATTCAATCTAAAAAATGGTCAATTCATAAAAAATAGAAAGTGAATAAGCTGGGATCGCGACAATTAAATATTTGTCCAAAAGAGACTAAGATGGGGTCTATTATATAATTGACCACAGAATAGTCTATAATGGGGTAGGGGTTCTGAGAGGCCAGCGGCACATACCCAGCAAAAATTAACCCAGGTACCCCCGTTGTATCATTTACGTAAACGTATACATGTAATGAACAAAATTATACGAGGGCGATGATCTTATGTTATTGCATGCTTGACTTCGACGCACCTTTACTTGGAAACACTGACATAAAACTGAGTATTATTTCTATTTGAAAGGAGGATTTGTAGTATTGACAACGTCAACTTTTTCCCATTTGTAACTGCAGTTTCGGTATTTGGCTAAATTTTGATGCGGTATTGCGGTATTCTCGCGCTACTATGTGCGGTATTGCGGTATTCGTATCCCCCTTACGCCCCCCTCAAGAAGTAATTTGTCACCCATGGTATAACATGTACTGTACAGACCAAGGAAGTTTACAGTGATAAGGGCTGTAGTAAGTAGCTGATTTCATGCATTAAATTGTTGTTGCTTTTTTTTGCTCAAGAATGGTGTAATGGTGTTCTTCAGAACCAGTTTTTGTTTTATACCACTTCAGAGTTGTTAAAGAGCATGATGTTCAGAAGCTTACTTCCACCCCTCCTGTGGTCATTATCATTACTAATACAATTACTGAGATGGAACATCATTTTCACACACTTTGTCTGCTGCTACATGTATGTAAATTTCTTGGAACAAGAGAAAGTTTTTGCAAGAGAAAAGAGTTCAACCCTCCCAGGAATTTTTTCGTGGACCAAACAAAAACATGGCTGCCAGGGTTTTATTGTTTTGGTACAAGTTGTGAGGTCAGGTGAAAATGATCTATTAGAACCATACTTCACAGAAACACTAGGAAGTACAAAGTGTGACAGAATATCGGTAAAGAATAAATAGATCATTGGCAATTACTTACCTTTTCCTTCTTGGTTAACTCTTCATCTTCTTTTTTAAGTTGTTTTTGCTATAAAGAAAAAAATTAATTTTGCTAAACACCATAATGTTACAATTTCTCCAGTTTGTTTTTCAAAAGTATGTGACAGAAATATATAGAAACCAGCCAAGGACAATTTCTACTTTTGTGAAGGAGCCAAAAGGGTTATTTATTCAAAGGCAGATCACAATAATAATTATTACAGTAAGTTGAACCTCCATTTAGCACCCAACAATTAAGCTGCCACTCTCTATTAAACAGGCAGTAATCAAAGTCACAATGGTCACAATAAGAACTTAAACTGCTTTTAAGTGTCTGCCTATATAAAGCACCCATCAAGCGCTTGATACACTAAGTTTAGCTTTATATCAAGAATAATGATGAAGAAAAATACAGTCCAAGATAGAAGGTGACGACCAATATTGTGGACCAGTAATGCTGCTCCTGTTTTTGCTAAACATAATGCTAATTTATGATGAACCTCTGTTGAGTCGCCAACCTCCCCTGGCTGCCATTTACTGGTACCCTGAGGGTGGCTGCTTAATGTAGGTTTAACAGACTGTATTGTTTTGTCATTGTTGATCAGTTTGCTGTTTCCTCAATGTAAAAAAACTGATATTTGCTACGACAAACTTCTGTACTTAAAATGCTACCTTAGTACATGATAATATAATAATTTATCAACAACTTTCTCTATTTAGCAAATAAGGCTGTTCTAAATTCTAATAAATTCAAAGTCGTTTTGTCCTAGGACATCCTAACCTTTTTCTCTAAATCAGTCAACTGTTGTTTCAGTTGCTCTGCTTTATCATCTGCTACTTTCACATCCTTAAGTTGCTGTCTTACTTGATCAAGTTTCTTTTTATTTCTAGAAAAAAAAAAAAAAAAACACATGAAACATGTCAAAAGATCACACCATATTATGCAACTGTTCATTACCTTTGTTGTACATAGTTTTGAATCAATTTAATTACAGCCAGAAATAAACTTGAGAAACTTCATACAGACCCAAACACGTCATACAATAATATTACATACTATTATATAAACACTAATGAAATACCAAGTGAGCTTTCGCGCGAAAACTTGATATCTTCACATGTGAAAATAACATGTTAAACAGGGTCCGAAATTAACTTTCTAATAAGGTCGCCAACTAGCGATCAGGTATAAATTTTTGGTCGCCAGAGAACATATTGTGGTCGCCAAAAATTTCCCCTCCCTTTTTTTCAAATAAAAGTTTAAACACGAATAAAAAATGCATGGTATGGACGTTTTTATGGTCAAAAATTGCACTACTTCCGCTCCCGATACCAGAAAGCAACTATACGTGTACGAGTGAAGTCTTATTTTTTCTCCACAAATTGCTTTTTGGAGATATAAAGCTATCTGACCTAGAACATAGGAACAGAAAGCTGTCTGCCCATGACTGCACTGATAGTATCAAAACTCTATTTTCTTCCGATAACTACCACGAAACACGAAACATAAACATGAGTCAAGCTAAGAGTCAAGCCGCCATGTCTCTCGTACCAGGCCACAACCGTGCCACATTACTCGTACTAGTCCACAAAGTACATGACGTACTTACCGTATTTCAGCTGAAAACAACATGGCAGCTTGGAAACGTTTAACTCGTATTGATCGTAGCTGTTCTGGAGGTATTAGTACAGGAAGATTCGTTTCACTTTTAATTTAAAAATATTAGCAGGACAAAAAGTAAAACACCTGTTGGCAAATAGCTTTGAGGTTTCAATTCTTAATCAGTTTCTCCAAACGTTAAAGTCCACGATAACAACCAGCTTTACAAGTCGCTAGCTGGCGACCAGCTATGAAATTCTGTTCGCCAGGACTAAATTTTTAGTCACATTGGCGACCAGGAAGGCGCAATTTCGGACCCTGTGTTATCTTCACATGTGAAAATATCACCATTGTTATGGCTTCATAATATACCACACCTTTCAGACCAAAAAACTATTTAAGTAAAATGGTTTGGTATTTCATTGGTGTTTATATAATAAATAGAACATTAAGTGGTCGCTTGGAGATACGAAATTTCTCTTCTCGTGTTGAAAGAATATTTCACTCATTCGCTGCGCTCCCTCGTGAAATATTTTTCAACACTCGAAGAGAAATTTCGTAACTCCGCACGGCCATGTAATATCCTCTATTTATCTTACGACTGCACCAGTTAACATTTTAAATCTGAAGTGCAACCATAACAAGAAACCAAACAAAAATAACACGACAAAGAGGGAAATGTTCCAGAATTAATAATCGCAAGTGGTATTGTTATTTAAATTTTGCTTTTTTGTATCTGGTAAAAAGAAAAACTACCTCCCTTGTAATGTTTTTCACTGGTCATAATAATTATATCATATTGTACTATGTACCCTTTAGGACCATACACTGTAATTAGCAACAGATCTAAATGTTTCAGAACAGAACAGGAGCATTGATGTCTTTAATATACAGTGTACTTATTTCTTACAGCTGGTGTTTGAGAGAGAGCTAAGAAAATGAGAAATGAAATTTAGGCTATCAAGTTAAACACAAAACATTGCTGGCCAGCAATGTTTCATCTGGGATTGGAAGGGTAGTCAGTTACCTCATAAGCCCTGCAAGCAGCGGCTTATTCTCCAGGCCGGGCGCTACTCTACATAGCAAGAGAAATCACTGCAAGCAACTATTTGCAAGCTTCTTTTATCAAGCCACCATCCAGCGCCAGGGATGAATAAATTAAACTTTGACAGATAAATCCCGTTTAAAAATAAGTTTAAATTAAACAAGTGAAGACTCTCACGCATTTGCTTATGCTTACAGTCACTTCTAACCACTTTGTCAAATACAGGCAGACCCAACTGGACTTGAATTCCCAAGGACCATATCCAAGTTCAGAAAAAGAAACTAAATTTCATCATTGCTTGTTCACGTTCTCCATAAAACGCAAAATTAGGCATTTTCACGACCTAGTTGGCAAAAAGCAAGAAAATGTACAAAAATGAATGATGCAAGTGCAAGTTGTAGTTTTGCTTTATTAAACAAATTGTTATTTTGATCTTCTCGTTGCTGTCATGTTGTTGGATGCTAAAGTTTCTAATGATTCCTGGGAATGAAAAGAAAGTGATATCATTTGATGTTTTGATGTATACATGCTCAATGGAAAAGCAAACAGTTGCTCGCAGTGGTATCTCTCCCTTCATAGCATAGCATCCGGCCTGGAGAAACCATTGCAGGTACAGAGTTGTAGCCTCATAAGGACCTTTGTGAAAGGTTAAGGTAATTAGCACTAAACCTGCACTTGTCAACAGTTCTCGGCCCCACCAGCCTCTGCGGATTCCTCTTTATTGACAATCTTATCATTAAAAATTGTCCTATTTTAACTGGCTTACTGGGAAATCTTTGTATCCATTGATTCTCTTTCTTTCTTCGCTTCCTCCATTCTTTCCACTCTCGCTTGATGCCGCCATCTAAACAGACTGGGTGTATCAATATTGGGGTGGGTGTCATCTTCATCATCACTGACCTACAGCAAAATGCGTGAGGATGACCATCTTAAGATTTGCAATAATAATCCCCTTAAAAGTATATTTTATATTTAACACTTTTTAAGCCCCAGTATCCACAAGCAAATGTTCCACACTGATGTCCATATATTTCCTTAAAGAATTAGCTGAGAGAAATCCGTGGTGATCACTTTATTAATGCTAAAAAATACTCATAACCTATTCTTTTGATGATGCATTGACCGATGTTGTTAAGACAGGGTTCTCAATAGAAGGCGGCACCCAGGGATTGATCGCCGCTTACTTTGGGATTTATAGCCGCTTACTTTGTGTTTAGGTGGCTTTTCTTTGCTTTGTTTTGACACCTCTGGCTTTGCTGAAGAGCCTCCTACTTTATCAGTGATCACCTCCTACTTAAAAATCTATTGAGAACCCTGTAAGAGATAGTGGATTTTGGTCACTTTAGGGAAAACAAATCGTACGTTTGCAAATTAAGGTAAATTCACAGACACAACTTAACGTAATCTCTTTCATTTAAAGGGAACAAATTTGGTTACTTTGTACTGTAGGTAGCACAGTGTGTTCTGATGCTGCGAGATCACTTATTATCAATAAATGGGAACCATTGTGTACCAACCGCAAATGGCCTTGTCCTTTTACCTAAGTAACCTTTTATTCTGAAAATGAAGTTTTCCAGAAGAGTTGGGGGGAGAGGGTCTTTGTCACATGTACACAAGTGCGGAAATTATGGTTGGGGGGACATGAGTTCCCTACAAAAATGAAAATCCAGGGAGGTAAGGGACCCATCGTTGATTGTCCTTGGGGGGGGGAGGGGGTTCAGAAAAGTGTTTGCATCAAAACTTACCCCCCTCCCCCCCCCCCCCCAAAAAAAAAACATTAATAATAATAATTAAATATAAAAATTGTACCCCCCAACCCCTACTAGCCCAAACCTCTCCTTCCCTCCGTGGCCCTTGGTCTCATAAGCTATAAAAAACCGGTAGGCAGCCACTTGTGAAAAGGAATTTTGACAAGAAGGTGGGGGGGAGGGTCTTTTTTACACATGAAAAAAAGGGGTGAATTAATGGTGTGGGGGACATGATTTCCCTAAAAAAAGAAAAATCCGGGAGGGTAAGGGACCCATTGTTGGTTGTCCGGGGGGGGGGGGGGGGGTTAAAAAAAGTGTTTGCATAAAAATTTACCCCCCTCCCCCCCCGCCTCCAAAAAAAAAACATTAATAATAATAATTACATATGAAAATTGTACCCCCCAACCCCTTCTAGACCAAGTCTCTTCTTCCATCCGTGGGCATTGATCTCATAAGCTATAAGATACCGGTAGTCAGCAGCCTAGTGTGAGATTTTGAAGGTGCATGCAGGGGAAAAGTAAGCACGCCAAAGGCACCCCACACCTGAGGGAGTCTGGGGGTATACTCTCCCAGAAATTTTTTAATTTAGGGTCTCAGAAATGCCATATCCTGCGTTTTCTGCAGGACATTTTCAATAAATAAAGACGAAGGAAAATGAAGTATTTTTTTTTTACCCATTTCTAGTGTTATCGGTAAGGTACAGTGTTTATGGCAAGAAAGGGTAAAACAGTGATGCAATTCAGGAGGTTACAAGCAAAGGGCGAGAGTGTACCCTTCAGACAGGCAAACTCTGTTACTGAATGCCATCAATATCAATTACAGAACTGCAAGAGAACTCAATCTCTCGTCTGTCATAGTCTTTCATAAATTATTAAGGAGTTTGCAGTCTCTTCCTACCGCAGAAGCTAAGCTCAGCGGTGCACGTTGACAGTACAGGATAAGTCAACAAAGTTATGAAAGCTACATATACTCCGGGATAGAATTGGAGCTGGCTAGGTCAAAAGTCTCAAACAAGGTCTGTGGCTTCACGTTCAGATCAACTCCACTCCACTTAATCAGTAAAAGGATAAAGGAAATTCTAACACAAAAACACCAATATAATGCGAAATATTTATCCTGATTTAATGATAACGATGATTTCAGGAAATAATAATAAAAAAATGTATTTTTCCAGATTTCAGCTATATGCATACCCTGGGTGCCAAAGACTTTTCTCTCACGGTTTCCGGTTTCTGTCAAGCTTTTATAGTGACCCGCGCAAAAAAAGACTTCTGGAGCAGAGCGCTACTAGTATTGCTTTGATAGCGCCGATCCAATCATTAGCACAGTTAAATCAGCTGGTGCAGATCTTGGACACGACAGCTGATTGGCTCCTAACGACACGTGAGGGACTTTTAATCTAACAGATGCTACAATTGGTTGACAAGAATAGACTAGCAAGGGAAAGAATATTTCCAACTGTACTGTTGACGTGACTGAAGTGTACCTGCAAGAAGTGTTGTGATGATGGCTTTGGAAAATTTTGAAAGAGCATGGAAGGAACGCATAAGCAATGTACCAGAACGGTTTGACAGTGTAGACAAGTTAAGCGATGAGCAAACAAGTGGGGTATTTAATTTTATTCAACAGAATTAAGCTTTTATCACGTTCAACTTTTCCAAAAGTTTTTAGTACAAAAAGGGGGTCAGTAAGCAACACACAGCTTTTACCTCATGCCAAAATGCTGCCTGGTCCAATGAATTTTTTTTTTATCTGATGAGTAGATTATGTTCTGGGACCTCTGGAGGAAAATGTTTTGACTGAAAAAATTTGATTTTTGCCGCTTATTTCATACTAAGAGGTCATGACAGGCATATTGATTTTCTGCGGTTATTATTTCTAGTCAGCATGATTTGCCCTCTGATGCAAGAGCATTTTCTTTGACCTCTTTTGAAATGTCAAGCTCTTCATTGCAGCTATTAAAATAACGGTTTTAGGTTGTTTAATTTCTCCAAAGAGCCTCCACGATCTGAATTATTATTACCTAAGTACGCAACTGACCGAACACAAACGAGTGATGAGGAATGGTGACGTCAACAATCACACTGCTGAGCACCATTTAAAGACGAAACATCAAATTGACTGGGACTCTGCGACATGTATAACGAATTCTACAGACTACTATCAACGTCTTACTTTAAAAATAAAGCTAGTTTACTAACTTAGAACAAATGCCACTGAATCGTAGCCAACAGTTACCAGCTCCGTACAAATGACTTATTGACGAGATCAAGCAAAACTAACTACGAGAGAACGACTGGAGAACTGACAATGTGACTAACAATAGATGACTGTTTAACTCTGACAATAGAAGGATCGAAATGCATCAATTACTGATTAGCTCAGAAGTATCGGTTATTGTAGTGCCGAATTGACTGTCTGCTGGTTATTGTAGCGCTGTATTAACTGGTTAGTCTAGTTATTGGTCTCATATTATGGTGTAACTGATGTGATACAACTCACTTTGACTCTGAAGATGACTACCGCACAGGTTGTCGAAACATCAGTCACTGTCAACAACAACAGTCCTATTCAGGGCTACGTTCACCCGGACGATCAAACTCAACCTACTTTTGAAATGACCCCTCGGTTCAAACCTTTCACGATCTGAATTATTATAACCAATTTTCTTTTTGTCCGTGAATGTGACAGTTTCCTGAAATGTTTTGTCACGTTGGGCCCAGCTCATTCAATAGCATTTTTAGCAGGATGTTAAATTCTCACGGATAGTGATTTTCAGATCCAAATCTTAAAGAATGAATTGCAGCTTAAACTGAAGTTACATCAACTATGGAGAACTGCGATGTGACTCAGTCATGATTACTTTGAATTTTAAACTCAAGCTTGTTTTTCTAAGGATAATGTGAGTCTTTGGACATTTCTTCACGTGCCGGTCCACATGATCACAGTTGGAGACTTGGTGTAAATGTAACCCAATAAAAAAGTTCCAAGGTCAACAGGGACGGTAAATAGCACCCCTCCATACCAGAGGTTTTTTCTCACCGCTTCGCCACTTGAGGCCGAAAATGTGTCAGCCTTAAGCTTCAGCCAACACTGAAAATTCCCACCACACGCGAGAAAAACCTCTGGTACCCAGGGTACTATATCCATAGGCGTACGTGTATACATGCACACTACATTCCTGGTAGGAGAAATAGCTGATAGGTTCCTTGGTCAACCTTTATACCGGTAACATTTTGTTGCTGACAACAAAAGTACCTCCCCCTCACAACAAAAGTACCTCCCCCTTCCGGGCATAATAAGCGATCGGTACCTAAGGGGGTCTTCAGTGAAATTCCCTCCAGGGGTTTGGATATTTTTTAGAACCACACTTTTGATGGGCAACCACAATGAAAGCAACGTCTGCAAATACCCAGAGAGAAGCTCATGGATGATAAAGCTCATGCTTACAATTGCATTAGGAAGATTAAGCTTGAATAATTATTTCACTAAACTAGAAAAATATTTTAGAGAAATGTTATTGTCTAGGGGAAGTTAGTATATATGCTACCAAAAGAAATTTGAAAATTTATGTTTGTACTTGTGTAATGGCTGATCAACTGTATGCTGAGGGCAATGGTGTATACTTTGATTTCATAAGGAACATGGTCAATCTGAGTCGTATTTTTCACATCCAATTCAGCTCAGAATTTGTCATAGGTGGATATTAAAATACACGTTATAATATCGGTAAAATGAAAACTTACTTCAATATGATCCCATTTACTGTAATCCACCATAGTTTTGACTGGATTAATGGATAGAAATCAGCGCAGCTAGGAAGAAAACGGTCAACCTTTACTCGGAAATATGGCGATCTGTGCAAAATAAAGATGTTTAAAATAGACTGGTGACTAGAATAGAGCGTGGTCGCTAAGTCGAACACATGATCTGTGATGACAAAAAAAATGTTAACAGAAACAATATGGGGCAGTTAAAGGATGTGCGGAAGTGGACTTGTGAACATGTAGGATTGTGGCTACAACGAAAAGGTTTCACGGATTATGCAGACTTGTTTCGTTATGAACATAAGATAGACGGTAAAGCTCTACTCGCTATCAACCAAGATGACCTTAGAAATCCTCCTCTGCAATTGAAAATTCTGGGAGATATCAAACGGCTTTGGCTTGAAATAGATGCTCTTCAACAGCCATACAACCGTCCCATTTCCAGATTGCCTAATGGGTTTGTTAAACGCAAGAATGTGGATGAGATTGATAGCTTTCAAAGGAGTGCAAGATATTCGGGATCATGGCAAATAGGCGAGGATTCTGATTTAGAGGACAGTGTAGACTCGGTTCATCCTTTGTCGGACCTGTCCGAAACAGGTCGGACTTTGATCAGCCTCCTCTACGCATTTACGGTTTTTTTCGTCACTTCCTTTGTGATGGTTTTTGTTCATGATCGTGTTCCAGACATGAAGAAATACCCTCCATTGCCTGATATAGTTTTGGACAATGTGCCCCTGATACCTTGGGCCTTTAAGATGTGTGAAGTCACAGCCCTTATTTTGGGAGTCGTTTTAGGTATTACATTGTTCCTCCATAAACACAGGATCATTGTAGTTCGTCGTATGGCTGCTTTGTGTGGTACAGTCTTCCTTCTTCGTTGTGTGACGATGTTCGTTACTTCTCTCAGTGTTCCTGGAATCCATCTAGAATGCTCTGGAAAGGTGAGCAGCTGTTATCCAGTTAATGATAAATAATTATAATTTACGTAAAAAATTTTTAAACATGTTATCAGAGGCTTTTATGTTATACTGTAATCTTGCATTATTACATGTACAAATATAATATACAACAAATTAGGAGGTTTTACGTGATTGATCCGTGTATTGTGTTTTATGACAGATTTTTATTTGTTGAAGAAATTAAAAGGTATAAATTAAAAGCCAAAGTTTAACCTTGGAAGAAAAATGGGGGGGGGGGGTGTTTTGCAGTTAAAGAAGAAAAGAAAGGTTATATCTTAAGTGCTGAATACAAGGCAATTTTTGAAAATCATTCTTTCGAGTTGGTCAGCAGCTCACAAGTGAAATACATGTACATGTAAAATGACCTTATCATTCAAGTCCCTCCGCAACTAGCCGGTCCTGACTGAAGAGCCCTTACCATGAAAAGCCCTTCTTCGCAGCCCTTATTTCTTATAATATTACGATGTCGAGGTGGCCTTTGTTTATAAGCGTAGTGGTTTCTTGAGGTCTCCTTGCCTAACAACCTGCTGTATCCTGTACAATTTGCTGTAAAAAAAGGCTAATAAAAATGATGATGATGATAAGAGCCACTGAGCCACCAATTTGGAAAGTATATACATGTTCCTTTCAGACCTCATACAATCCCTTTCTCCATAATACGGACACCTCTCAATTACACAGTTCTCTTGGTTCCATAGACACTAGACTTTTTACAATCTTCATAATATGGACACACTGTGATGCAGACACTTTGCTCTGTCTCTTTGTGGTCCACATTAACGAGGTTTGACTGTAACAGTTACAGTGAAACGTGTATCAAGCAGGCAAATGGCTCACTTTGTTGTAACTGTCATATCAAGCGAACACCAGTGAGGTTTTCATGAGTGTCCCCTTTATACTCTAAGTCCCAAAAGTGACCGACATCAATTTCTCCTGACAGTTTCAGTTCTTTATCAAGAGAATAGGTTTTAAGAATTATTGATAAAATGACTGCCAAAAGGGAAATATTTTGATCTTTTGTCAAATTCTCTTAACTAATTCTTTAAGGAAATGTATGGACATCAATCAGTCAGGGTTAAATACGGGTTTCACTGTTTGTACATGTAATATAGTGAGAAAACTCCTGATAACCGTGTATTGTTTTATTTTATGAATTTAATTTAGTTAATATTTGGTTGAAATGTTAAAATTTGCATTTGGTGATATTTGTATGTATGTATGCATTGAAATCAATGTATGTTTGGAACACATTAATCATTAACATAAAGGTTTAGAGGTTGCAGGTGGGATCTTCCTGTTTTGTTCAGGCAAAGTAATATATTGGAGATTATTTGAATGTTATCTTTTTCAGTGCATTATAAATGTAAATGTAGATACAAGGAAAGTAAATATGTGATTCTAAGAAAATTGTTTAAACTTAATACATGCTCTCCTTTATTTACATGTCTTAAGTGACTTTTTGTATTTAATATCAGTAGTTCTTTCCTTCACCTTAACATAATGAGTTCTCTATTTTTTGAGGAATTCTTCCTCTTTGATTTAATTTTGCAGCAATGTCACGTACATGTTATGATTTGCAATTTCCTTTGTCTCTTAGCCCTAGTGAATAATTAGGGCTAGGATACAAAGGAAATTGAGAATCAACCTAGGTTGAAAGTTTTTAACCTAAATTTAATTTTGACGAATAACATACAGAGTCAAACCTGTATATAACGGTCCTGTATATGGTGTTTAGTCACCCTGTATAATACTGTCACCGAACAACTTCCCAAAATTTTCAGTTGCCTTATATTTTTGCAAAGTTGACCTGTATATAGCAGTCCCCCTGTATGTAACAGTCACCTTGCCATTTCCCAAGGGTGGCCGTTGTACACACATTTGATTGTATGATGTATAAAATGTTTCATAGTTAATAGATCATCATTTTTGGGTAAACATTCTGGTAATACAGTTGAACCTCGATTATCTGGAGTCATTGGGACTTGATTAAATTGTCAGGATAAGCAAGAGTCCTTATAATGGAAAAATTTTAATGTGAATATTAATGAGACAATAACGTTAACATAGGGAATAAAAGAAAACAAAATATAATTAATATTATGAATTTGCTCCTACTTGCTTTTATGTACAGTCTGTATGTAAGTTACCGTTTCAAGTGTTCATGTTCGAAACAGATCAAAACAGTGATTGAAACACATTAATTTTGGAAGGATAAATGAACTTTAATGTGAATCGTTTCAATTTTTGAAGATCACATCTTATTAATGTTCATGAAAAAAAACGGGACCAGGGAAACAAGTCCAGATAATCGAGGTCAGGATAATCAAGGTTCGACTGTACAATGAAAGCTCTCTTACAAAATGTAACAGACACTCTCGTAGGACAGCTTTACTTTTAATACTGCCGCCTTCACAAAACCCCATTTCAACTCCCATACGAACTCTGTATTTGTGAATCCCCATAAGCGGCTGCAGATATTCTTATAAGGGTTTACAAGTTCTATCTTTTCTTTAATGTCTTTAAACACCCGAAATGAAATCTCATTCCACTATTGGACGAAAACCTGTGAAAATGCTGTGAAAAATATGTGAAATACCCTGTGACAAGAAAACATCCTGTGAAAAGACCTGTGAATTCTGCACAGCCTAAACTCAAAATTTAGGACGCTCTGAAAAAACCTGTGACTAAAATAAGCCTGTGAAAAACCCTGTGAAAAAAGCTCCATCAAAGTTTGAGAAAATTGCTTAAGAAACACCTCCGAAAAATGATATGAAAATACCTGTGAACAAAAACTGGTTGAAATCAATCCTTTGAATGTTGTATTTTAATAAATCACCTTGAAATCACTGTTCATCACAATTACGTGTAATTTATATCAGGTTCTATGTTAGTTCGGTTTGTTTGTTTTTCAAATACACATCCAGTTACACGTGCACTTGAAAAGACCACTTGAATTTATACCTGTGACTATAAACTGGTCTATAAATTACGATGTTGTGAGAACAACAGGATAGCCAAACACTAACAAACAGTTTTTTACATTCCTAATGTTTATTTATAGCTTGGTAAACTCCCATAAGCAACCATTTAGCCCTTACCTTTAGTGGCCTGATACTTATAAGAGAACTATTCTCTTAAGCGACAACAATCTCGAGTTATGAACACCTTTTTTGCGTCCCAGGGATGTCCGCTTACTGCGCTTTTCAGCAACATGTAAAGTCAGCTTGATCAAGAGTCAAAAAATGTAACATTTACATGTTTCGCTTCTGTTAATCACCGTAACAGACCTCTCAGGCAGTGTTGGTTTTCTTCAGGGGGTTTTAAAGACCCTAACATCTGTAGGTGGCGAGTTGTACACTTTGACCTTAGCTACAATGAGGGACAAAAGTGTTGACACACTTCCGTAAAATGGCCCCTTTTTGCATAGTGGATATACTTATCCCCTTCCCCTGTCTACCCCAACCCCTTCCCCCAAAAATCAATGTTGAATTTTGGACCCTCAAGTCTTTTTTTTACTTCAGACAACATTGATTCGGGGGGTCGGGGGATTTACGGCCTTTAAAAGGAATGAAATAATAAATGAATTAAATGTTGGTTAAAAGCACCCCTTTTAAACAAGTGTGTCAACTACTTTTGTCCCTGATTGTCTGAAATATGTATCTGTGTTTTCCGGCTAGATTTTTGACGCTGCTGAATTTTTGTGCTATGACGTTACTCTATGGGCCAAATTGGTTGTTTTTAAACATCAGTTTATAAAGTTTCATCCTGATTTGTAGTATACGTAGAGTAAAATGTACGAAACGTATGTCATTACTTAATCTTGTACTCCTGCGCGCGTTCCTGATACCCTGTCGGGTCGAGACGAAATGATTTGTGTTGTGATCAATGCCGTTGCTGCGGATGTAATGTTTTCACAAGTGTTATCAATAGTGGAAAAAGGATGGAAACATTAAGGTACAATGAAAATTGTTCTGGTAAATGGTTAACTTAAGCGCTTGAAGTACTGCAGAGTAACAGAGAGGACATGCATTATTTTTGACATTGACCTTTTCCATTAGTGAAAGGACGCGAACAATATACAGGTTATGAACCTCATAAATGATGGGCAGCCGTTTGTGCTATGCCCTATATATAGATGTGTTTTTTTATTTTTTTGAGACCTTTTCTAACCTAACTGATCCAAACCTTTAGCGTAGGTAGGCGTCGAACAGGTTAGACCAGGTTAGGAATGTACCTTTGTAATGATTTTACATGACCGCCTGCTGATTGTTTATTGATGTTGGACGGACAACTATTTCATTTCCCAGCTCGCAAATCACAGAATGCCAAAGAAATTGTTTTCAAGATAGACACACCAGTTTGTATCATCGCCAAAACAGCAATTACTTTGGCCCAGAAGTTCACTTGATGACAAGCAAAGCGGGATGATACGTGATCGATGACGGCCGTGCGCTGGAAAATTTTCCTTTTTTATGTGCTAATTCCTCACAAAAGGCAAAAGAAGTTTCCGCTATGTAGAAAGTGCTTCGCAATACGTATTCTTGGCGAGAAAAATTCCAGCGATGTGGTGCAAATAAGGAGTTTCAACGGTTAACCACGAGAATACATATCGACATTAAGAGGTAATAACAGACTAAGTTACTTTCCGTTTGCCGAAACGTGGTTAACCGTTGTAACACGAAGGAAGCAGTGTTTTCCTTAGTTTAAGCTGTCGTTTTCTTTGAGATTCAAATACCAGTTCACGTTTCAAAGCTCTCTTTTCATTTTCTCTGCCGACAATAGACAAAAACACAGGGTTTCGCTTGAGAAATGCAGTCGAAATACACAGACAAATGCGCTTATGTCACGCTATTGGCATTGCGTTATCATGTCACACAGGGTGTCACGAGGTGGGATTGAAAGTAATTGTTTTCGTGTACACTTGCAATGTTTGCTACGCTGTCCTTAGTTTTTTATTGAATTGGCCATGAATTTACCTTCACTTTTCCGTAGTTTCGATATTCAACGCAGTGACGGCCGCTCCTCACTAACGCTTCATATTTCCGTGGCCGGCCAGTGACTATCTTCACTACGTGTCAATCCTTACCCTATCCGTGATTGTTTGGGCCTTAACAATCGGATAAAGTGAAGAACGAGAAATATTCACTTTATCAAAAATATTTTCAGTACGCAACCCCTTGAAATTCATCAAAAGTTGTACATAGGCGCGAGTTTCAGCGTCAGTTTTTAGCTTGTAAACCATATCGACGTTAATTCTGGATATCGCAGCCCTTTTATTACGTCATCGCGTAATTCGAATTGGCCCTATAATTCGGTCGTGAATAAGTCTATGTCACCCCCACCACCAATAACATAATTATGTCATTGATTCCTTTAATCTCAGTTAAAATCAGTGTCATACACGGCTCAACTCGTGTGTAGTAGCACAATTTTGCATTCAGACAATGAGGGACAAAAGTGTTGACACACTTCCGTAAAATGGCCCCTTTTTGCATAGTGGATATACTTATCCCCTTCCCCTGTCTACCCCAACCCCTTCCCCCAAAAATCAATGTTGAATTTTGGACCCTCAAGTCTTTTTTTTACTTCAGACAACATTGATTCGGGGGGTCGGGGGATTTACGGCCTTTAAAAGGAATGAAATAATAAATGAATTAAATGTTGGTTAAAAGCACCCCTTTTAAACAAGTGTGTCAACTACTTTTGTCCCTGATTGTACTTTGTTTGTTTTGTTTCATGGCAATTATGATTGTTGGAATTAAAATACGTAATCATTGGATAAACTTTTTACCTTTGAGTTTGCATGTTATGGTTTTGATGTTGCTTTAAAATTAATCACAATTAATATGACCACAATTCGATCTTTATTTTTAAAAATAGAATTTCTGAGAGGTCAAACATCAGTTGTATTGGCATGACAAGATAACAATCTTTTTATTGCTTATTTTTGTTCTTCTAGTTGTATGGAGACACTTGGGCAAAGATAGCAAGGGCATTTGAGATCTTGTTTGGGTTTGGACTGTCAGTGAATGGTGTGCGGACTTGTGGGGACTACATGTTTAGTGGCCACACAGTTTCCATTACTCTCTTAAACTTCTTTATCACAGAATGTAAGTGATGCTTTTTATTGTATTAATCCATGCATGCATGGTCATTAAAGGTACATTTTCGCCCAGATAGCTTGAAACTATAATTATTCTTATTGCCTGGGGCTGTGCCAGCAATACTAGTCTAGATTGTCTTTGTATTAATATAAGCAGGACAAATGTCTCCGAAGCATCTTCTTTTCACATCCTAGAGAGAGTACTGGTCCTTATTAAAAGCTCTTAGCAGTTCTTGAATTGTAGACAATAAATTTATTATATAAGCTAGAAACATGCTGCCTTATACATGTACATACAGCTGTAGTATAAGGAATGAAACTGATAGCATTCCAGGATATCTTGCTTGATGTCCTGACTACAGCATCCAGTATGCACAAAAATACAAGATTTGCTAGTAAACTGAATTTTTTTTAGACCAAGATTATCCTCCAATTTAGGTTTAAAACGTGTTTTAATTTTCCTGGCTCAAAAATCTGGGAAACTGTGCCACTTCTCTTAATTGTCTACCAAATTTAGGAAAGAATGGAATATACCATTTTTTAATCAGTCAGACTTGATCTTTATTATCCTTATTTTTTGTGTTTTCCCATCACCGATCAATGTAATTTTGTTGAGACAAATTGAATTATTTTGTTACATATGTATCTGTTACAGGTTAAAGTTTTTTAACCTAGGTTGAATTCTCTATTTGCTTTTTCTCCTATCCCTATTATTTGTGGATTAGGGCTAGGGGTCATTGGGAATTGAGAATCAACCTAGGAGTACATGTACATGTAGGTTAATAAAAGATTTGAACCTGAATATACTTTTGACCTGTAACAAATATGTTTCTGTACTTTCTCTTATTTTGGAATATACGGCAGTAGTAAGTTGTTTTTACATACATTTTGGTTTTCAGACACGCCCTCCCGTATGTACTACCTGCACACATGTTGCTGGGTTCTAAACATGTTTGGAATATTCTTTATTTTGGCTGCTCATGAACACTATTCAATTGATGTGGTGATCGCTTTCTACATTTCCTCTCGTTTGTTTTTATATTATCACACTCTGGCTAACACACGTGCATTAAAGTGCATCGACAGTAAAAGAACAAGGGTCTGGTTTCCTCTGTTTTGGTTCTTTGAGGAAAAGGTATCTGGCAAAGTTCCAAATGAGTATGAATGGCCTCTGAAATGGCCGAGCTTTTTTTGTTCAAAATCAAAGTGCCAATGACAGTCCTGACTTGACTGCAAACTCTTTGTGTTAAATTATATTGCTTGATTCTCAAAAATGTTATCAATATACATGTAAATAATATTATTTATCTCAATGTTAATATATTTCACACAATTATTTGGATTCAAACTTTCACCGAAGATTTTAAATGGTATCACACCAAACTATATTTCACTCCCCCAACTAACACAACATCAGTGTGCCTAGCATAAAATTATTAATTTTTTGTGTGAGAACTACAAATGTAAGATTACCCGGTAGCCCAATGGTGAGGGCAAATGGCAGCATTAGTTGGGGTAATGGCATGTGGCACAACTTGCCCGATGGTGAAATTATGCAGAATATAATAAATGTCTCGAAGAAATATTTACAATATGTGCCTCTTAATTTGCTGATTTCTTATTATATTTCATTGAGCATACAGCTGCACATCTAACTATGCCATTCCACATGAAAGTCATGAAACATGCTATACCACAAACTCATTCATCTTTTTTACCCTCACGGTTACCGTGGGCTTTTTTTCTCTATTTACAGTATGCATGTAGTTCTTTATATTTGGCACAGTCTTGGCTGTTTTCAGACTGCAGATTGATTATCCATCTCTGAAGGGATTTTCAGCATGTCTTAATCTGATTTCAGAGCAGTGTTCATTTTAGACAGCAAATAATCCATCTGACCTTGTCTGTCTGTTTATCTGTTTAGTTAGATGGATTTTGAGACAGTTTTTCTATTTCAAGTGTGAAAATGACATCATCGTCATTCAACCTAAAACACTGCTTTTATTATTCTGGTTCTTAGTTTCCTCACAATTATACACTGTAGCTCAATAGAGAAGCGTGACATCAAATTAAAATTTGTGAAATTGTGGTATTGGTTAGCATATTCAGAAAGAATAAGATGCAAAAAAACCCTAAATGCCAAAAATCAGCCTGTCAGTGCTAACTGGTGGGTAGATATAAGCACCTGATAACGCCATACAAATTCATCTATACTTGCCTTGTATAATGTTGCTTATATCTGATCTCACCAGCTTGCCCCAACAGGCTGATTTTTGGTGAGTGAAAATTTTTCATCTTGTTCTTTCTGGATATGCCAACCAATCCCATAATTTCACAAATTTTGTAGTAGTTGTGACATCATCACTTCTATTCTCTATTTGGACATTTAGAAGTTAATTTTTAAATTTGGTTATTCCGAAAAGTGTTTGGTGTGAACTGTTTAAGCTGATTTATACTTTGTTTTCACCTTCGAACCTTTTGAAAGAAAAAATAGTGCTTTTTAAGGGTCATTCTATTCTTTCAAATATTCGAATGTTGTCCTCGATTTTTTATTTAGGGCTGTATTGGGAGTAAAAGAGTATTGTGAACTCCCATAAAAATTTATCAAGAAATTCCCTAAACTGTTATCGATAGGGCTACGAAATTTCTTGCTAATGTTATGGGGTTTTTTGCCAAGTATTATTTTCACTATAATTGCAATATTGAATTGATGCTCATTGTTTATTGTATCTTTAGGCAGATTTTATTTAATATTAATTTATAAAATCAAAGATAATATATGGTATTTTAGTCAAAAGAAACATTTTTAGTGTGTTTTATGACATAATAAGTCATAGCTTTTCCAGTTATGGTTTATCTTAAGTTTGTTGAAGCATTGTTAAAGAATCACTGTTATTTTATATTGATCTTGTTTTAATTTAACAACTGCAGAAATAGACGAAATTTTCTTCTCGCTATTAATTTTAAAACGAAATTGTTCGATGTAAGGCGTTATGTTAGTCATCCGAGTTCATGTAAAGAGGCTCCAATAGTGTGTTAGCAAGTCTTTGTTTACTATTTATTTTATCACCATTACAGTGTAAAGCATCTAGCAACAAAAATGTGACTATTGGAAGGTGTAGTATGATAGCCTTTTTATGGATTTTTGTTTATTGTTAAACAGATATTCCTTTTGCTCTGTGATGTAAAGCCTAAGAAAACAGCCGACATTTTTGCAATGCCACCAATGGTTTCCCTGCGACATGACGTCTGAGAAACGAGAGCGGAAATTTCGTAGTGCGCTCGCTCCTCATCCTTCATGTCTCGGGAAAACAGTGGTTGCGTCGCGAAATGTCGGCCATTTTCCCAGGCTATGTGATGTAAAGCACTGGGAATTTTAAAAGGAATGTGTGACTTGATAACACTTTTTACCCAGAAACTAACTGAACGTTTGCCAGTTTCATTTCTAAGCATGATACCCTCTTTACATGAACTTGTATGACTGGCTATAAATCAAATCAGGCAGTCAGCATTGATTTACTTATGGACAGAGCATGGAACAACTGGGTGCAGATGTTTTTATTTGAGAAATGATTGTGTAACTTCTTGGAAATGTGAAAAAAATGCGTTTTCACAAAAGGTTTAACTACTGCATGTTTTTTGGAATAATGTCACTATATAACCATAATGTTTTATCATTTTATCTTCGTAAATTATTTTAAATATTAATATATTACTTCGCAAGGATTGTAGATATCCAATGAAAATTGTGATGAGTTTATAAGATGAAGTAAAAATTAATATAAATTATACTAGAGCAGAATATTGAAAACCAATTTTTTTGAAATTTTATAACCTGTGATCCATAGAAAAGTGGTGTTGGCTACGGTGAAATGAATATGAGGCGTCATACACTTTCAAGAGGAAAACAGTGGATTTGTTCCTGTCTTACTCAGTTTGCTCCTGAACTGGAATCGAACATCCTCCCTCACACACCCCCTCCCCCCCCCCACCTCTCCCCACACCCACCGCCCCCCCCACACCCAACCCACCCCCCAAACTTCCCGCAACAGACAATCAACACAAACACAAGAACAAATAGCACCGAACAACGTCCATAAAAAAACGGACGA